GGGCTAGCAACCCTGGGGGGGGGTTAGGGTTAACATGGTGGGAGAAAGTACAGCAGTTGTGATTGAAAATAAAACTATTCTAATTTTTCACCCTATTTGAGACATTCACTGATACTGTTAACTGGTCTTAATTTTGTTTAAAATGACACAAAGCTTGCTGGACTGGAGTACCGTTTAATTCAAATATGAGTTTGTTCACCCACTGTCGATTTTTTTTCAACAACATTGGTACCTGACAGTAATGTTTTAAACCAAAATGTTATCTTTAAGACTAATGATTACAAAATAGAAGAAGTTGTAAACTCATGTAAACGCTTTGTCTGGAAATATAGCCAGGGAAAATGTACACTTACTTAAATATCTACCATACTCAAAATCAAAACTGCCTTGTACATGACTCTACGATAATGAAGTACATGTACCTACACTTTGCACGATGTACTTGAGGAAAACCTCAAGTTGGACTTCATTTCACCCAGATTGTGAAATAGGCCATTTCTTTCTAAAAGTACACTTAAAGTTGAACAGGACAATTTTATTCTAGACCAGGATTGAAAATGTTTCCAAAACATGCACATGCACATACAGCACATGAACCACAAGAGCACCGACTGAATTATTTTAGCTTTTATTTATTTCAATAGTTATTAAACATGTCCTTTGGGACATACATACATACATTTATTGATGTGTACGATGACAGTAGCTTGTGTGAGATGAGCGTTAGGAAATCCAACAATACATGGCCTGCTCATCAGCCTCAGGCATGTAAAGTTGTAACTTATTTTATTGTAAAAAAAATGTAAGATGTCACGCGTACACAAGTTGTATATACAGTACATACATGATGTAGAGTGTTGTAGCCTACATGCATCATGTACATGATAGTTCTGATATTAAATAGGCTGGTAAGTAAAACACAGAAAGGGGACATTGCTAGGTTAACGACAATCCCTTTTCATTTGAACCACTTCGTTAAAAACCATGGAGGAAAGAATGAAAACCCTGTTGACTTCTATTTCTAATTTTTAACGTTTTGTTCCGTCATTTCTTACCTGATAATCGTCGAGTTCCGCCTCAGTGAAGACGCTGTGTGATCCCCCCATATTGACAGCACTTGTCAATGTACTTGTCGCTCGATATTCTCAAATATTTAAAGTCGTCAAGTAAGTTTTTCTCAGTTAATTAATGCATTTTCCATTCGGAAAACTTACTCACGTCATCGTTTTCACGCATCGATGGAGAAAATAATGTCACCGCCAGTGCGTTGCCAGCTTATAATTAGGTATCCATTACGTTTTATCACTGGTACTTGCAAGTGATATGACAGCATGGGTTAGTTGTTTGTTACCAGCGTCATTTTTTCGCAACAGGTGGTCCGGAGGGCGCCCTTGCTGCCAACCGGATTGTAAAGGGTGCAATCCAAGCCTTGAAACTTGAACACTGTCAAATGGTAAAATCAACTTGAACACTCTTCAGGGCTCAATGGCATTTGCAAGCTTGGCATTCATTGAGGTTTTGTCAAACAAAATTATTCTTTGGTCGTTAAAATGTCAATTTTTTGGGGTTAACCAATGAAATTTTTAATTATTCACACGTCCCATGTAATGTAAACAAAACATGTGGTTTTATGGGGATCACTATAAAAGCGAAGCTTGTCAACTTGAAGTAGTGATCCCCATAGTCAATAGTAAACAATTTATGTATACCAAGAAATTAACACACTAAACACATAGAATTAGCAACAATTTAGGAATAACATAATGGAATGGCACCCTAAAAGAACGGTGCAACACCCACGGGTGTTTCTGTTTTTCTCAGCAAAAGTGCTCTATAAAGCATGACCGAACTTGCATAGAGATATCATTTGAAACCATTTTGCTCCTATTTTATAGTCATACCACAAACAACTTAGTCAAATTAACCCTTTGTGTCAGGAATAAGGTTTGTTTTTTTTGGATACCGTATTTAAATTACTGGAAAAGCTATTTATTCGCCATAATAAAACATTCAAAAGGATGCAACAGTCACAACAAGAGCAGGCGGGACCACTCGGTTCCTCGCGCAGCTTTTCTACTTTCCATCACATTACTCTCTATATACTGAGGCCGCGTGACACCCATGAGATATGACCGTGGCACTGACAGGGACACCCTGGTTAAACCCATACCAGTCATCATATCAACGCCAATTCGTCAATTGATTACCGGTAGCATGGGACGGGCAAAGCGGATATACCACTGCGGACAAACTTAATTATTGGCTGTTGGAGGTGGCTTGACTTGTACCTTAAGTAAAAAGGAAAACTCAGCTCGTGCACCGACCGCCAATTAAGTTACCTGGCGCGATGCATAGGGCGAGAATTATCGGTCTCTGGCCGGACGTAGGAGCCTGCAGCCAGAATTGCATTCTAATCCCGCTGCTTTGGCATGGTATTTATTCAAAAACTCTGACATAAAAGTGTTTCTATTTCTCTCGGCACGAATTCCGTCTAGTCCTCTTTGATGCTTCAGCTCGATGATGCGTAAACCAACTTGAATGGTAAAAGGCAAGTTGAGCTGGGCATTTTGAAATCAAGTTGGTAAAAATGATCAGTTTGTTTAGTCGCCTACATTATACCTCCATGATTATACTTCCCTCTCATCAATTTCAATTTAATGTGCTTCACGCTATACCTTCTGGAAATGGGGGGGGGAGTCCCCCATTAAGCTAGCCGTAACCAGTTTGGACCGGCTGTGAGCGGTCGCAGACGGCCACACAAAAGCCACTGCGCGCTTAAATATGAATTATTCAATTTGAATGGTTGTCGTCGTTGCATGCCCGTGATAACGCACAAAAGAAACGAGAACCAGTGATCATGAATTATGAAAAATCACCGGCGCACGTGGAAAAAAACGTGCTCTGTGCGCAATATATCCCATCATATGTAAACATTAAATAAACCGGCGCTGTGCTTGCGCAGCTAGCTAGCTAGCTAGCTGAGCTGGCAGCTTTGTGTAGATTCTAAAACAAGAAATGACGGTTTGGCTCTAGGGTTTGGTTATTCCTTACTGCCGCGCAAAGAAGAAATTGTAGCTTTCGTTGACTCAAAGTCGATCGCTTTTTTTCTCAACAAGATATAACGTGTGAAGCTTAATATGTGTGCTCCATCGTCGAAGCGGTTGGTGGACTCCACCACCACCGGCCCGGTAGATAATCCTCCTCCGTCCTCTGCTGGTGACGGGGAGAGCAACTCAGCGCCGATGCCAACAGATTATCATCCCGGTAGTTACACCCTTGCAGCAGTGACACAAGATGATCCCGGCTCTGCACACCGCCTTCTCGAAATGCCAGATTATCAGAACAGTAACCTCCATCAGAAAGTCTGCATTGATTCAGATCTTCACCCAATGACGAGAACCAGGAAACTGCTGAACGCTAAAAACAAGGTTTTGTCTTTTTTGCGGCAGAAGTGTGGTGTGATTTTAACAGGGGCCGTCTGCATTTTGTTTTTCAACATCATCGGCTGGATGGGTTGCTACAGTGTCTTGTTCGTGAGTCTGCAAGATGAATTCCATAGTAGCGCCACAGAAACAGGTGAGAAAGTCGTTCAAGGAAGTGTTTTCGCATTTATTATATTTCCTTACTGAATTTATACTGAGTATTACTAGGCTTATTCGGTTTTCTTCTTTTACCGTGACGGTTTCATGGCGCAAGGAAAACATTCCTGGGAATTTCTAATCTGCTCTGAGATGAAACAATGGAATCATTGTCAAGATCGTAAATCATGTTCCTGGGATGTTGTCCGTAATAAATGAAGACCATGGAATCTGTTTCTCGCGGTGAGGCTTAATGCAATCTCTTGCCGCGTTTTATCAGTAAACAGCATTGAACTTCAAGTGGTTATCATGTCCAGGGATGTCTTATCTTTTAAACACACAGATATGTACAGCCTGCTGCCCATTATGTTTATGAAGTCAAAATCAGCACAGAAAGTGTTTCTTTCTTGACCTTTTTGCAGAGCCATGTTTATCATGTTTATTAATGTATAATATTGAAACATAATTTATACAGAATACTAAATAATTTACTGACATTTGCAACAATATAATTCAAAGTTATGGCTGTTTTTAAACTGTCCAATATAAAAACTTGCCTTTATGCTCGTTTTATCATTCTAGTGTTAACTCTCTATGAATTGCCCAAGTTTGTAATTTTACTGTCTTCATGTTAAGTTACATTTATCATAAATATTTTGGAGATTTGCCATTTATCTGACCATAAGAGTTGGCTTCCTGTTTTTACTGTATTTTCTTGATTCTCAAAGAATTTTAGAAATCATTTCCAATTTTAACCTGAAGTAGGCCCTTATTGATTTTGAGTTAGGTTCATACATGAGTACCCACCATGAACAATAAAATGTTACATACCTAAAAGAATAAAAAACTTTGCCATCCACTTTGGACATCTTCTAAGAGAAAATTGTCAGAAATCACTGAAATTTGAAAATCACCACAAATTACCACCTCGTCTTGCACCCAAAAGAACTGAACAATATCTCGCATTCAGTTGAAAATAAAGAAGGGAATATTCAGAAGCCATCACTCTCAGTTGAGTGTGGGTACTTTTACATGGGATCAAAGAACAGGGCTCGGTAACCAAAAAACCTTAGCTATTATGAAATCTGCCCATTGTGTGAGACGCTTCGCTTTGTACACTGCACACAATGGGTGCCAAAAGTGCCCATGTAATGACAGTCAGCTGTGCGTTGGTCTGATCACTGGCAGGGGCTGGCTAATTTCCTGTTATTGTGAAATGCCTAACCTGTACTAATATCCAGTGCATTAACTGAATGATAAAGAGACAAAGGAATCTGTCTCTTTAACAAAGATTTAGAAAACGGCCAATTTTTATTGTGGGGTTTGAAATTGGTCATGGAATCCAACACTCTCAATTCTCCATGGATACTCTGTCAAAACACTTAGTATGGAAAGAATGAATTTAAAAATACAAAATGTTTCCAAGGTGAATTTTAAACTTTGCGCATGTTCTGGCAGGTTCGTTGATGATAGGAACATGTGTTTTAAATGACAGATTGCGTAAAAGCAGTTACTTGGAAACTACATACATGTATGATGAGCAGTGGACCTTGTTACAAAATGTTGAAGAGACTATATATAAACTTACGAAATCAACATCTGCCTTCACCTTTATGCATACCTTCAAGAATTTTCACTAAAAGCTGACTACATTGACGAGCACACAAAAGGCTTTTTGGACCCATTAGTATAAATGTTGCAGGTACATGTACATGTATATTTATACATGTACCTCATGTGTGAAGTTGTAAATTCATCCAAACTGAATTTGCAAATCATCTTTTCTTATGCCTCAAAAATCAATTTCATGGGTTGGGGAACCATGTCACTGATGCATGTTGGCAGCTGTTGTGAAACATGGTAATTGAAACCCCCAGTCTGGCGTAAATAAAGGTCATCTATACAATCCCATTGTTGAATCTCCTATAGAAGCTCTTTGTATTCAAATTTATGGGGCTGGCTGCAGCTACACTTGTTTATCCGTTCCTCGCTAAAAGCTACATGTAGGGCCTTGTCTACCTGCAGAAAGGGGGGGTGTAAGCCAGCCCAGGTTTCATTTTGCTGCCAGTGCATTGAATGTTGGGCTGGAAACGACCTTCTGACCTGAAGGCTTGATGGAAATTTGGAAAGCTTTGGCACCTTGCCAGCACCCAGGCTTAACTTGTCTAGGTTGCCAGTTATTCCAGTCTGTGCAAAACACAATCTTTAAGTTTAAGAACTCCAATGTTTAAATTAAACTTAAAAAGCCAAGCAAGGTGAAACAGTGTGACCATCACAAGCCAAGCAACTAAATGCAGCTTTGTTAAAGAAAACCCATAAATGACACCTAAAAATTAAGGAAAAAAAGTCCAGAAAGTGCATTGAAAAGTCCAAAGATGTCACTCAGTCAATTTTAATATTTATTTTTACCCGTGTTTAAAGTAGGCATGCTACACCCTTCACACAAAGAGAGCCCATCCCTCCTGCAGCAATGAAATTTTTCTGCAACATACGGGATATTTTTACAGTTTTAAAACTGGTCAATAAGAAAGAAAATAGAACAATGGTAGGCACTGCTACCCTTGGTACCTTCAGAAATTCAGTCTTGCATGTTCATTCTCCTTACCAGTTTTATCCACAGGATCCAAGGTAAGATAAATAAATACAGATAAGTACTTGACCCTGAAAATACTTTTTTGTGGTATTATTTTTGCAAAATCTTACTTGAGTGTTTCACCCCTATAGTACTTGAACGTGTAACACACACGTCGATGGAACCGATAGAGGCAGAGCTCGCCAGACTGGCATGATGAGAGGACTGGAGTATCTCTATTACTGTCGCAGTGGGCTCTCTCGTTGTCATGGAAACTGTTTTCGTAGAGCAGTGGCTGATGAGTGGATGCCCGGGCGGAAGGCAAGGTGCTGATGGCTGTCTGATCCAGATGTTTAAAGGTGCAGCCTAGATTTTGAAGACAGAAGGCTAAAACATGCTGATCTTCTACGTGACGTCTCCCTCGTCATGTCGTGCCTCGCAGCTCTTCCGTGATGTTACAACATCACCACCTACATCACAACACTCCTCCAATGTGGCACTTTACATCAACTCCAAGATCATGCAAGCCCCTGCAATCGTGGCCGAGTCTGAAGCGTGATACATCCGTATGCTGTAAACACCATGATTTTTTTTTGTTTTTTTACTTTTTAAAAATTATTTTCCCCATTTTTTTGTGTGCTGTATTGTTCATCCATTCAGGTCTGAATGTACCAGACAAACAGATTCTAACAATCCTCTCCTTGAAAGTGAAAATCAACTTTGTGAAATTTTACCTATTTGATGATGACAACTTGCCTTTTTTAACAACTGTGTTCTCTCCCAATGTAGCAAAAAGTCAACCTGCTGGAGTTTTTTTTCCAAGTTTTTTTATCTTTTCATTGAAATACATGCTATCAGCTGAGTTTGTGGTTACCAAAGGTAACCCCATTAAACAAAAATATCAATTTTAAAAAAGGAAGTGAACAACATTCATGGATACTTTTACATTGTTAATGCCCAAATGTTTTTTTAAGAAGAATTTGAATGAGAACAGAGAATAATGTACTCATTTGTACACATACACACTTTATTCATGATGTTCAATCTCTTTTGAATGAAATATTCACAATTTTCTTCTTTTTTAAAATCTGTTAATCAAATTTACTCATTATACAAAGATTATTGAAATATCTGTTGGCGAGTTTGTCTGTCCTGTTCCAACTTTATAGCTGTTTTTTTTGTGTGTGATTGCCTTGTTTATGATGCATAAATTAAAATGCAAATCAGTTGAAAAGGCCATTTTGCAGAATTTCATTCAGACCATTCATACATGCCCAAAATCTGTTGTTGTATGTTTCACAGTGTCTTATTCACATGTCCATGTAGTGTCAGTTGTCAAAAATGAATGCACAAACTTCTGTCAACAATGGTAACCTGTGTGTTATGCTTGAAATCAGCAAAGTTTGAACTCTGTTGAAAAAAAGGGAATTGCAGTAATTGCTGTTTGTTTTCTGCTGGAAAAAAAAAACACAAAAACAAAGCAATCTGTATGTTGGTTGTTCGCAGTGATGTCTGTCTTGTTTCTGTTCGGTGTGCTCATATTTTTTTTTTTTTTGCTTTTTTTTGCCATCCCTCCATCTGCCATGATGTCTTTTTATGTTAACGGTGTCCCAACATGTATGCTTCTTACATTTTTTATGCTTGTCTGAGTGGGTCAGGAAAAATTTTGCGCATGAACAAAATGCAAATCCAGCTGTCAAAACCAGTTGTCTTGTTCATCAGTCAAACTTCATCTCAATCAATCTCAGCGCAGGAATAGACAGCAACCCCTCCCCCCCCCCAAAAAAAAGGGTGGTGGTCTAATGTTGATGGTCTTTGGAAGGACAAAGAAGTACTTGTTCATGTACCTCTTGCCCTCAGCAATCGCCTTGACTGCTGCAAAGTTGGACGTACATGTATCTAACAATTTTGAATCACAATCCCAAACTGAAATGTTATTCCTCTCATCCTGCTTCACTTATTCTGTGCTGGGCCAAACACATTTTCATTGTTGTGGGACCGGGACAGATAAATTGGATGGATGCACAAAGATTACACTGCTTATCTCCATCTTGAAAGCGATAGTTTTGACATCCACTTAGGTAAATGGTGGTATACCGGTATAGTAGATTCCAATTGGTGTGCATTCCACTAACAAATTTGAGTTTTACATAAATTTGCATTTTGCATGCAAACATGTACATACATGTATCTTGTATGCGTACATGTCTGCCAGACTGCAATGACTAATAGTGTATTAACACAGTTTCTGTGAATGATTGACAAACATTAAACCCCATGCAAAGGCATGGCTTGTTCCACCCAAGTGTGACAGATTTTTATTTTTTTCTTCCTATTCCCCGTTTCTATCCCACACCCCCCCCTTTTTGTTCGTATCATGCACACAGGTTGGGTGGGGTCACTTGCCTTCATCATCACCTCTTTGGTCACCCCTTTCAAGGACTGCCTCCGGCGTCGCTTCTCCAACCGCTCCATCTGCATCATTGGTGTCATCTGCTGCTCCGTCTCCGTGGTCACCTCCTCCCTGGTACCTCAGCTCTTCTATCTCTTCTTCACGTTCGGCGTCTTGTACGGCGTGGGGACAGGCCTGGTCTTCAAGTCCTCGCTGGACCTGTTGCTGAGTCGCTTCCCAAGTTATTGCGGTCGAGTGTCCTTCCTGATCCTCACAGGTTCCACTGCAGGTATGCCAATCAAATGTAAGGCCGTCATGGTCACATTTGCACCTGTTGCTTACAATAATAGAAACAATTTGTGAATCCAGTTTGCCAGCAGAAAACCTAAAAGTTTTAAACTTTTTTGAAACAGTTGTATGCAAATTTATGTGAGTCTTGATCTCTTAAGGTTTGTACTTAACAACCTCATTTTTATGCAAATTTATGCGAGTCTTGATCTCTTAAGGTTTGTGCTTAACCTCATTTGTATGCAAATTTATGCAAGTCTTGATCGCTTAAGGTTTGTACTTAACAACCTTCCAAGGACTTTGACACAGGTCCTTATGCAGTTGTTCTCTTGTGTACATCATTTTTATTTGTCCTCAGAACTAACACACAGCCTGTATACATGGCTAAAGGGGAGGTTTTTTCTTGAAGTAAAATTATTAAACCAATTTGTTGAATTTTTCAAAACTTATTTTGACTCTTTGACTCATAAGGTACTTATGAATAGGAATAAGTATTGGCTATTCCCTGTATAATACAGGCCTTAGAAGAGATAGGCCTTGTATTTATAAGGGAATGAACAACAAAGAATACCAAGATTTGAAATCTGAATGTCTCCTTATTTTTAGTATTTGTAAGATGTTGCATTAGTGGGGTTCAGGGTTATCTTTGGCATGCAGGGACAAGAGGTTATAACATTTTAAGATGCGTTGTTTTTACATCGGCTCGGGCATTTGGTAGGTAAGACAGTGTACATGAACATATGTGACCTGTCATGACAAAATGAACGTTGAGTCCCCTTCCACTCTTTCCAATTTTGACGGTTCAAAGTCAAATATTGAGGTGGAAGTCAAGTTTGCGGTTGTGTAATATTTGGAAGGAGTAACCTGTCTCTTATTTAATTCCAAATATCGCAGGATTGTATATTTAAAAACGTCATTTTTAGCAATTTTGATGATAGCATTATTCATGCCTGTTCTGAAATGTTGGACGCAAAGCTGTTAGAATAATGTCACATTGTCACCTATAAATACTTTTACCCTTAAGTGTTCCATGTGCATACCACTAAAAAGCTCTGTTTCTGGTGAATTGAAAAATACCAGTATCTCAATTTTGAAAATCCCGAATTTCAGCTCATTTTTGTGGTGATCAGGTGCAATCAAGTCCTGTTAGAATGCACGGGTCTTACACCAGGTGTATCCATGAGCCTGGTTGCATAACTTCCCAACGTCTTGTCTTTTCTTTGCTGATAGAGGGGTATGTCTTGTCAGAGCGGGTAACTCCCTCATTTCAAGACAGGCTGATAGTTTGACACATGTTTCAAGTTACATCTTTTTTTTTTTCAACCGTTCCAGGTGTTTTTGCCTGGACGCCAATCTTGACTGCCTTAATCGATTTGTGGGGTTGGCGGCAAACCTGCCGTATCTCCGCTGCCGTCATTCTGCTTGTCTGCCTTCCCTCCACCCTTCCCATGGGCATGGCGCCTCCACCTCCTCAGTTTGATGACACTAAAAAATGTCCCAACACCAAGAATGCCCACGACGCCGAGATCGCTGATGGCAAACTGAAGTCTGACAGGAAGAAAGCCAGACAGACAAGGAATAACAAGGAGGAAATCAAGTGGGCGGGGCTCAAAGAGAAGCGCATTTTGTTCATGCCAGAGGCATGGCTCTTTGGCTTGGCCAATCTAGTGTCCTACGTCAGCATGGGTTTTTACAATGTGAATCTTGTAAGTCAACTTATTGGAATTTGAGAAGGCTTACAGTGCAAACACACTGTTAAGGCTGCATCTGAATCTGTTTTCTAGAACTAGGTCTAGGTCTTCACTCCATTGGAAATACGTGCAGATGCACAAACAATAGACCTAGCCAGCGCTGGAAGCCAGTTTCGGACATGGTCAAAGTTTAGTAGACAAGTTGAAAAGCTACATTGAAGCATACGTTTACAGGGAAGTAAGGCCTCGTTTATCAGCATGAATTTCAGGCTGTCTCTACATTTGAGATAGCATATCGGCATACATGTAAACATTCCCTGTATGCCCAAAACGTCAGGCTGATACGTCGGAACCAACTTACTTTCCTGTGTGATGGGAAAGACACTGGAGGTTTATATTGATTGTTGGACTCTGTTGGTAATGGCTGCTTCTGCATTGAACAGTGAGACTTTGTCCGAATGAACTGGCTGTCGGGCTGGGAGTAACATGTGCATCTGAGCGGTGTAGCTGCAGCTGTTTAGCCAGTGGTTGCCATAGACCGTTGTGATGATCACATATTGATAAAAGGGAGCTGACACTTTTTCCTTCCAGCCTCAGTTTGGTTACATTGCTTTGAATGGTGGAAAAGCAAGATGGCTACCCCATGATGGAGGTCCATTGGCAGACATGTTATTTTCACAGCCCCAGCCATAACTTTCGGACACAGCACAAGTGTCAAGTTCTGACAGGATTTATGTATGCACTGTACTTGTGAGGGTGTTCTTCTGTGATTTGAAATATGCTGGGGATTTGTGCACATTCAGTTAAAAAGTGGTAACAGGCGCATGCCACCTTTTGCTCATACAGCTCGAATTGACTTGCATGTAAGTTAGGCACCGTCAATATCGCCCAGAGTATAAGCTACAGGGACATTTTTCACTCAGTGCGAGAACCAACAACATATGCCATGGCTTATTAAAAATTATGGTCATGTTACGTTGCGCTTTTGTATTTTTTTAGTAACGTTTGTTCCTCAGTAGAGGTGTTTTCGATATATTTTTCAATATTGATGTTTTCGAAGTTTTGATGCTTCTCCAAAATCCAATATTTTCGATAGATCGATATTATCAAATAACTAACATCAGCGATATCGATATCAAACCCATATCAATAATATTGATCTATCGACGGTGCTTAATGTACATGTGGGTGAACGGATGTGTTCAGCAGGTGGTGTGCCCTTATAAGAAGATGCCCTCTACTGCCCTGCCCAGAGCAATTAGACATGATGTGACTATGGCTTGAAGCCACTTACCCTAGTGGCTTCCATAGGTTCATGTGTTATTTCTAGCCAAAGGCATTCATATTTATGACCACACTGCTCAAATATGTATCTGAGATGCCTGCATGTAGTACCGACTTTCTAAACAGGTTGAGGCACAGAACACCTTCCCCTGGAGGATTGTTCACAGAAAGTGGCACTGAGACAAATGAGCTTAATAACCAGAGCACACGGAGTAAGCAGAGACCGCATCTAAGATCTAAGAAAAGGTCCGATGACGGGGTTTGAAAAAAGTCACTATTAAACTGTCCCTCTGTTTGTAATTTCCAGGTGAGCTATGCCACTAGCCTGGGCTACAGCAGCAACCAAGGCTCCACGCTATTGACCATTGCCGCCGCCTCTGAGGCCGGCTGCAAGCTGGTCTTTGCCATTTTTGTCGATAAATTGCCTTTCCGCAAAGCGCACTTGATGGCGGTGTTGTCGCTGGCATCCACGCTCATCACGCTGTCATGTGCATTTGTTCCATCTTTCTCTGTATTGTGTGTAATTGGAGTAGGTACGTACACACGGGAGACACCTGGATTGATCCGGAACCAACCAGATTGTACAGGACCAAACTCGTTCATGACACACACACACACACACACACACATGCACAGACCCTGCTCTTGGGAAGCAACTGAGATACTGGACAGCACTTTCACTCACTCAAAACATAACTGAATGGACACACATTTACGTTTGGATGACGTAATGGGATGATGAGTGTGGAAGATTTCCGTTTTGATACTTTTGAGATACCGCGGCCTCTTGTGACTGCTGTAAAATTGATTTCTGATTGAAAATAATAATATAAATAAGGCCCATGGCTGATACTTTTTGCTCGTCAAAACATTACGCCATCCACACTTTTTTTTTTTAAAAACATGACATTGGAATCTCTTTAAACGAAAAACAATTCATAAATACCTGTTGGGAATTTTGTATTTTGTTTTGCAAGCATTGCAAACCTGAAATGTTCCTCAAATGTCATGTTGAAAGTTTTTAAAAAATGTCTGTTGAAAAAGTTCGCACATTAGTGCAAATTTTTTAAGGGGGGATAAAAAACAAATGATGACATGGCATTGCAACTGTCCGAAAAGTAAAACGTCAGAAAGGTATTTATGAATGGGAATGTAAAAATGATGATGGCTAGCCCCTATAACGAGATTGTAACACCAGGCAGAAACACTGAAGAGAACACATCGAGAAAGATCTGCACTCTACCGGGCTGGTTCAAGCCGACGATGTATGCAAAGAGGGACGATGTTACATTTCTGTGTGTCTCAGTCAAGCAATTATGTACAATGTTTGAGATCTAAAAGTTTCACCTGATTTTTTTGTCTTTTACACAGATTATGATTTTAATGATTTTATGATTTTGAAGGTCATTATTTTCAAGCATTTGAAGTCTGCTGCAGTTTTGGGGAAGACAGCTGTCCATATAAAGCTTCACAATGTTCCATTCTTTGCATACATACCACGTCTGAACCAGCCAGAATGACCTGTTTAATTTGATTGGCTTGCCTCTCCCACCTGGTGTTACATCACGTTATGCTAGCCTCGTCATGGGTCTGCAGTCCCTCATTTGCAGATGGCGATCAATGGCTAAGCTGCCTCGTCACAGCTGTGCCCTAACCAGGCATGGATCACGTGAATCACCAGGACCACTGAGGTTTCATTTCAGGGCTCCTGCGGCAATGAAAATCCTGTGGAAATTTCCTGTGGGGGAGGGAGGAACCAGAGACAGTGAAAGTTGGGAATAATTTTGGACCAGTTGGCAACCGACAAAATTGGCACTCCAGTGTATTCGTGGTTGCCATTGTTGTCACATCCAAGATCATGAAACTTAATGATATTGCTGCCAAAAGAAGAAAAAAATCGTATGTTAAAACAAAGCTTGCTTTTATTATGATTAGGTTCAGATGTCATGGAATATTTCATACAGAAAGTTTGAAGACTTCTTAGGGGAAACAATAAGGGAAAACAAGGATATTTCCCAGGAGAGCTGCAGGAACCTCTGGTAAAATTGTTTTGTTCTTTTTTTTTGGTTTTTGTTTTTTCCTTCCCAGTCAAAGAGACCTGGCATTCTGTGTGGGCACTTCAAGCCATCCGACTTTCCAGTTGTTTTTGGAGAGCTCAAAATCAGAAAGCCAGGATAAGCTGTCGCTTCTTCTGATAACCCATGTTGTTTGAAGACAATCCAATGCGCATGTAGTCACACGACAGAACACACGCCCAGCAGCTTGTGATGGGAGCTCTGGCTTAGGGGATGCAACGTTAGTGAAACATCGCGGTTTAGCAAAAGAGAGAGGAGGTTGGAAGACCAGCGTGGCTTGGCTAGACTAATGAAATTGGAGGGAGAAATCTGATTGAGGGGGAAATTTCACATTGACTCCTTCATTTCCTTATACTAGCATCCCCGATCCCCTTCACAAGCTGCTACCTGTTTTCTCTAAGAATCCAGCATATCACATGTACATTCATTTATTTTTTCATTCACAGCTATTCCAATACATTCTTTTTTGTAATCAATTCTTAATTGACATTATCAGCTATACATGATATTTGATAATTGAAAGAGATGTGACCGAGTTGATACCCCTTGAAATGCTTATATTCAATTTTCATTGGTACCTGATCAGGTATGGGCTTGCTGCGGGCGGCCATGAATGCGCTACCGTTCCCGGTAGGCATGGAGATCTTTGGCCCACGTAAGACCAGCGGATCCAACACCCTAATTCTCTTTGCTGGAGGGTTGGGAACCATCACAAGTGCCTTTGCCATAGGTGAGGCCTTCCACTGCTTCCCTTTTGTACAGAAATAGGCTCGGTTTACGACATGGAACATTGTACATTTCGGTGCACCTGCAGGGCGTTGCAGGTTTCGCTGGGGTGGGGAGATGTGAACGTGGAGTTCATGAACAGCATGGCATGTGCAAACGAGGACCATTTTTCCAACCACTTTTTGCTTGGTACCCAGAATACATTGTGTAGACAAGGTTACCATGGAAAATTGAGGGGCGTTCACCAAGGGCTGTCGCCAGAACTTGCCTGCAGCTGCCACACTGATATCGCTATGGCATGCTGACATTTCCCTCTCAAATGCATGCACTGGAAGAAATGAAAACGTAACGTTTACCTGCATTGTTCTTTTCTTATGCAGGTGGGACGTACGATGCCTTCAACTCTTACGATGTTGCCATCTACATCTGCACCGGCTGCCTGCTGCTGACGACTGTCCTGTACGTCCTGATCCCTCTGATCTCCAGACTGCACAAGGTCATCGGCCTCAGGGTCAGGATTGATGAGGTCACAGGCGTGGCTGAGGTGATCCCGGTGGTGGAAGACGAGACTGTCATGATTGAGGAATTTGTCACAGTCCTCTGAAATTGGCAGTTAATGTCATCTGTTTTCTGTTTGGCTGACCTTTGGGGGGGGTGATGAGGTCAAAGGTCAAGTCTTGTCAAACTGTGAGCACTAGAGTTGCTGAATGAAATTACCTTGGATGACTTGAACCCACGTCCTCCCACGTGTCTTCAGAGCTCTGCTTGTCTTTAAGTCAGTTTGGATCAATCGCACAAAAGCCTTGGAAGATGTGAGTGAATGAAACACTAAAAAGAAAAAAACCATGCACTGAATATTCCTTGATCATTCCTAGACTGTCTATTCCTGTCTGTGCTTTCATATTGCCACTTTTGGAAAGCTTTTCTTGTAAGCAAAGCCTGGCCAACAGTTTGGATCGTGCTCTACTTTTCACACATCAAAGTAGGGACCAACAACCGTTAAATGCTTATTTTGTAGTCGCATTGCACAAAATTGTCAATGTTCATGAAAGCTGTTCGCGTAAGTTTTCAACTCGTCATTGAAATGAACTAACGTAAATTACGTATAAATGGGATAAGTGCCCAAAAGCTCTGTTTATGACTTTGACCAAAAAAAAAAGCAGGGTTGTGGAAGTCACACTGGTGCTAGTAGAATTCTCATTGTAGTCTTATATAGGTTACTAATACGTTTGTTTGACTTGAGCTGGCATTTTGTTTTACTTTTGTGGATCTTCGTTTTCGTTTCAAATGTTGATGGTACGAATCATCTGAGCATGTTCTATGAGGACATAGCATTTCACGTCCAGTTTATATTAGTTGATTAAAATTTATTTCGAGTCAAATGATTCACAACAGAACTTGCTGCCAACAATGTAATTGACTCTTTAGGTTGAGCAGGGTGCACCTGTAATGAGTTTGAATGTTGGGGAGAGGGGTGAATGATGTGTGCCAGTTTTATGCATGCTGCAAAAAGGACTGAATGACAAGCTTGAAAAAAGCACAAAGTATATCTATGCAGAGAAGAAAGTTGTAAATTATATTCTTTTAGAATGAGGAGAAAGAAAGCGAGAAAATGTAGAAATAATGTCCTGTAAGTGGTCAAAACTGTTTTATTTACAAACCATTTTCTTAATTACTAAGCGAAATCACAGTTCAAAAGGAGATCAATAAGACTTATATTTTAGAAGTGACCTTGAGAACTAAAATGGGAAAATGGTTGGTTGGGCCATGGCGAAATTCTTTCCTCCATGGTTGGACATACAGGATGTGGTTTGAAGGAAGAGCAGCTCACGTCTTAAAAACTGAAATTGAACGTGAAAGAATAAGAGTTTTGACAGTTGATGAGTGTGTCGTGGAGAAAACCTTAATTTCTTAGTGTGATGTATATTAGTGATGTGTAGAATTTTAGATAAAAGCAATGAGGCAGCTCATGGTATATTGAAAGAAACTGATTTGTCTACATCGGTAGAATGCCAGTGTACAAAGAAATTTTAGTATTGGCCAATGAAAACTGAAAATATACTATTTAATGCTGAATATGTCATAAAGGTGAAATATGAACGTATACATGTTTATAACTTATGGTTTTGAGGAAATTCTGCCTTATTGCAAACGATCTTTGAAGTATTGCTTCAAACTATGCACGTTTTAAGTATTTATTTGCTTGGTTTCTAGTACTGCTTTGCAATGACTTTGGTTTGCCTGTACCAATGCAAGAGTTGTCTGGTGCAATTTCCTTTTCTGTTTAATAAAGCACTTCTACTGACCCATATTGAAATTAAATACTTCGGATTGGTTTGGTTTTTTTGAAGTTGTATCTGCCTTGAGCAGAAGAACCCCCTCATTGGTCGAACAGAGCCAGCTTGGTCAGGAGCGTTCATTTTGCTGGTTGCGATGCAACAGTGATACATGCATTTCATAGTCGTTCATAGGAAAATTTTGCCCTTTGTTGGTCCAATTCGGGGGCCCATTATCTACTTCTGCTTGTCATACTCGGGACATGACGCACCATGACAAAATGAATCCACAAGTGTACTTTATAAATAAGTACGTACACATTTGATTTTAATCAGTGATATCAAAATGGTAAAACACAACTTCTATGAACGGACAATACACCACCACAAGACCATTAAAAGATAATGAAAACCTTTGGACTAAAGTGAGACTGGAAGACATTTTCAGTTGTCTGAAACACTTCCTTGCTATCAATTTGCAGACAAAGTTGTAATTTGCTTCTGAGAACAGACTGTTTTGCCCAAGTCTGATCACATCAGAAACTGTAGACTTGATTGCAAGATCTTAGTTTGGTCTACAAGTTTAAGCATGAAATTTCAATGTTCATGTATTGAGTTTAGGTCCAAAGGTTTTTAATTTTAATGACGCTAATTGAAAAGCATTAAAATTTCTTGCAGAATTGACGTGTACAAGAACAAAAAATAAACATGGCCACAGCTTCACACCCTGACATTTTCCTGTCATTGTGAATTGATTCGCCAAGCGTAAAAGTATAAAAGGTTCAAATGCATATTTTTTGAACTCGAGACTGGCTGACCCAGTCTGTCCATCGGATACACAAAGTATGTGTGACAGTTCCCTGTACAGTGGTTTGGCCATCAATTAAATAGCTGGATTTGCCTTGGAACGCAACATCGTGGGCTTCACATCATCCATCAGGTGGAATCGAAATGTGGACTTCTGAGTTCAAACAGCACAGATCATCCAATGACAAGGCACTAGGTCATAAGAAGACAGTCACTTTATCTTGTAAATTTCTGGTAAGTGTATTTAATAAAAGTCATACTCTGCATGAAATTTATTGCATAGCTACAATTCCAAAAGGTTTACTTCCATGTACACTAGCGCGAGGTTTAAGAGGATGCTGAATAGACCACATAAGCAGGCTGAAGAACAAAGAACTTCAAAGACAAGACAGCACAAAGAAGATAAATAACCCCGCTCAAGAAAGGTTTCATTCTTAAAAATCAACATTTACAATCGCAAGACAATGCTCGTGCCCGAGTGTAATAATGACAAAGAACAACTTATTCCAGCCCCTCCCCGTATTATAATAGCAAAAAGTAACCTTGATCCTAATGCTAGCAGGTGTTCAGTCATGTTTCATACCAAACAATCTCAAGGGAAGCTTCCATGGCTGACATTCTTTTTCCAGAGGGTACTTACATCAGTCCCAATTAAAAAAAAAAAAAAATCAATGTACCTTTTATGAATCGCAAGCCAGAATGACAGTATGCTGCCCTCCTGCTAAGGCGGTAACAGCCTTGCGATTTTCTAGTTGCTTGCTTCTGACACGAACCGGTGATGGCTCGTCATCTTCTTCGCCGGTACCCAGCTGGAGATTGCTCCCCATCCCCCAAGAATACACATCACCTGACCCACAACAACAAAATAATAATGGGCTCAGTATTTCGGGAAAGTATCATCCATAAATTTTTGTTGGTGAATGCAGCCACCTATTCCCTGACTGAGATCAAATCCCAGAAAATGATTCGTTTTGCAACTTCTGAATTAGCTTGTGAAACAATGAAATTGATCTGAATTACAAATGTGCTGTTTGCGATTCGTAATGTCCGAGTGTATGTCCCTGTGACCAGTACCATTTTTAGGCATTCAAATAAGATTTGTCTCAGGTGAACGGACAACTTGTCTAAGATGAAGAGACAACTTTAGTGGTCAGTAAGACTGAGATTTTACAGTCCGGAATGGTGATCCTGAAAAAATTTGAAATCATGGAAAGATGAGTGAAAAAACACAGAGGAAAACTGAACTCCAAAATGGCGATATGAAACACTGAGAAAGCAGCGAATGTGGCAAAAGAGTTATTCCTTTCCCTGCAGAGGGGGAAGGCAGGATGGGGTGGGCATAGGAAGGAGCTTTTCTCACCCTTCTTCGTTGTACAGATGCTCATGCTGGAGCCACATCCGATGGTCACAACCTCCTCTGCGTCCAGCACAGCGACTTGAGCCGGCTTATAGCTCTCCTTGCATTCGTCACCGAGACCCAGCCTACCGTAGTCAGTGCGGCCGATTGAGTACACTTTACCTGATGCCACGGACAAAGTGAAAAAAACAAAACGATGTTTTGGATACAACATGAAAGCTCGGAACTTTCTGAAGTTTCAAGAAAAAAACATAGCCCCATGTAAGGTTATCATGACTGGGGCTGAGCGGGCCTGACATTTTCAATATCATGCAAAACCACGTGCAAATTCAACGCTCTGCTTACTGTCTGGAAAAATCTTCGCTCATAAGACAGCAGACAAAATTTGCACTAACAGTAAGCATATTTTTACAGCTTAGCACAGACCTGTAGGTGTACGTGTATTGCCTGTGAACAAAATATTCCACTATTTGGGGATGTAAGCACAGAGTTCTGATCCTAAATGCATAATGCCGTGCTGAGCAGAGCCAAGAAACTGATGTTTCACTTTACTGGGGGGTGGGGAATGGCACACACAGGGGCTTTTCTCTACCTTTGGTGTCTAGGATAAGGGTGTGGTGCTGCCCTCCTCGGATATCTTTGACGCTCAGATGCGAGAAGGCCTTGACTTGCTCCGGCATAAACCAAGACTTGGTGTCCTCAAAGCCTGAAAGAAACAAAAACTTATGAGACCTCTGAACACAAGTGCCTCTCCTGTTTGTGGGAAAACATGTCTGATATTGTTGGAAACTTACACCACATGCAATGATTTAAATACTTCACTGTTCATGATTTAAACTTCATTTACTAGACGTTTACATCCACACAAATGATTGTCTGGTGGCTACTCTAATCTGACAGGCAACCTCCATTGACGCCCGAGTATTTCCACCAGGCCTGCCGCCTAGTAAAGACAGTCCAGGTGGTGCAGTGTTGTGCAATTTCCATTGTTCCTGATATTGGCCCAGTGCGTTGCTGAACGGCAGTGGCGTCTTTTCAAATGCGGCCGGATTAGTGTGCAGCGGTACGGTATCGCTCATCACTGGAGTGCTTTTGTCCCCGCTGATAATCCGCTGGCACTGAATGCCACAAACAGTGGTATACTGTTTCAAAACAATGACGGATTACCGCTGCTGATGCCAACTGAAAAATGATAGCAAATCCCAGCAGCTTGATCTTTTGTTCCGATTATGGTCTTTTGTTACAAGGCCAATTTCAGGCACCCCGGCTATGCATATGAAGCCAACGTCTCCGGTACTGAGCACCCCGGAGGCAAGTGGTTAATCAGAATGACACATGGTTTACTTCTGAATGGACGGGATCAACCGATTAGGAATTCATATCGAGGGTGGGACGTTTACACGTTAAAACATTTAAAAGGAAAAAGCTTAGAATCCGTTGACAGATTTTCCCAAACGTTTAGATGGAACTGCCCCATTTAGAGGTTTGACGTTTTGATTGACACGATCTGGCATTCAGTTGTATTGTAAACAATGCTTGTAAAATGTAATGTTATTTTCAGAACACTTTACTGCTCGGTCACATCAAAAGAATACCATCAATTTGTCACTGGGAATTGGTCTCAACCATTTACATTGTACACAATTTGTTGTGTTTAGAGACTTCAATGACACCATGGTTTGGGTGGGACGTTAACACCCTGAAATGTTAAAATGGCATGGGAAAGTTTTTTCAAATTAAACGTAAATTTCCACCCTTCAGTCAGTATCTGCCTAGAGAAGGAACAAATGGTTGGAAATAGCTTAGAGGAAGTGATGACATTTGGTTACCTAGCTGGTGGTAGTTGTTCAGACCCCAGCTGTAGATGCCGCCACCTTTCATACTAGCAAACGTGCCGTAGGCCGTGCACCAAATATCGTCAAATAGAACCTTGCCGTGGCCGCGTATTCTCCTGCAGTGTACGAGGGTGGGCTCGTGAAGAATACCTACAAGGTTGATCGTGTAAAAAAAGAACATCACGGAAACTGGGAACCAAACATAGAATTTTAACGAGCACCAATGTACACACAACTCATAGGTCACACTTGACTCTTGAATAGTTTTTTTTAAACAAACATTTCTTTCTCAACATCACTGGTCCTGCACGGCCTGTAACAACACTGTGAAGTGTCAATTTCACCCTACCCCCATAATTTTCTTACCAGTTCCTTTTCTTCCTCCTCGTAGGGCAAAGATTTCTGCTATCCTTCCTAACTGGCCCTGCTCGCCACAGCCCAGGGAATAAATCTCGCCCTCTGATGTCAGTAGGCACAGGTGGTCATTCCCTGAGGAGATCTTGACGACAGTGTCTTTAAGAGGAATCTGATAGGGGAGTTTCTCTGTGGTACCACCTGATGTCAACCCAAAAGGACCGTTGGCATCCTTCAAAATAAACAAGTTTCAAGAGGAGGCATGTTTATTCGCCACAAGCATGCACATTTACACAGGGATAAATTTGAGTGATTTGATCATAGAGCTAACAAATACCCCTACTGAAGCCACCTACCCTGGAACAGTCAAACTGAAAACCTGCTTTCCTGTGGTTTTAAAAGTCCCCAATCTTAGACCCCAGCTTTTAATTACTCTGATGTTCCAGCTTAAGTGTCTAAACAAACGTTATTGGTTTACTGCATGTCATTAGATTTCGGAAGAATCAGTGTTGGGGGGGAAGGTCTTGGGGTTGGGATCAGTGATGAATAATATTCAAAAATTGCTATTAAAACCTTTAAGATGCTAATCAATCGTGGTATTTTGATAACATTACTTCCTGACCTAACCCCTTACCCTGAACGTTCCCCACATGTAGGCCTTGCCATCTTCCGTCAGTGCAGCAGTGTGTGAATCTCCACAGCTGACCTGAACGACCTTCTCAGCGAGGTCAACTTTAAGGGCTTGGAACTCTGACCCTTCCTCGCTTGTGTCGTGACCTAGAGCTCCTTCATCATTGCAGCCAAAAGTGTAGATCTGGGGCAATGTACAAGGAGAGACACAAATCAAACAAGTGGATCGTGTCGGTCACTTAGTCCTCTGGAGGGTACATCAGACAATCATTATTTTGCTTCACAGATGCATTCAGGGTTTCATCGAGGATTGAAATATATGCCTGTTCTTTCCCAGCCAAGCTTAAAAAAACTGCTTGTTCTCTCCCGGGAAAATGTTTGAAACTGACGTCAGTTGTTACTAGAATTATGAGGCCATGTTTCCACATGCAACCAGTATTTTGGAAGGAAATACGAAGAATTGTTCTCAAGCGTTGAAGATTTATGTAACAAACGGGGCTTGTGAATTTTGAAGGAGCAAAATCTGTCCATCCAAATAGGAAAGTTGGCAAGATGAGACAATGCTGGTATTATCCTGGTATATCTTGGAGCTCAATGCAAATACTTTTTACCTTATTAAGGTACATGTATGCTGCAGGAACTAAACGTTAAAATAAATGGAATCTCAAAAACTACTCGTCAACATCATAAGTAAAAACAACAAACAAACAAGTTTTCCCCCAAAACTTTCAACGTTCCACCAAGTAATAATTACAACGAACATAACGCTGAGAAGCAGGTAAAGAATTTTAATAGGCTTGAATTATCGCACATGGCTGCCTAAATTTGTCGGCATTTTTAACTGTCTGTAACAATCTTAATGTACGTTTCAAGTAACTTGCCTTTTAGCCATAAGATGAGGCAAACAAGGTGAACTGGAACATAAACAGACAACTCACCTCCCCAGCACTGGTTAGGCAGACTGTGTGCATACCCCCGGCAATGGCCTCCACTATCTTCCCCTGGGCACCGTCTGGCAGGGGGACCAGTGTGGGCTTCTTCCTCTCGTACATGTCCTCCCCCAATCCTAGCTGGCCCACATCTCCCTGACCTAGGGTCAGGACATGACCCTCTTGGGTTCTGTAGGAGCGGTGGGCGAGGGTGGGAGGAACTGTGAATGGGAAAGGGTTAAATTAAGCAGATAACCAAAATATATGTGAATACTTTGCACATATATAACCATACACTGTGTCAAGAACATTTAACACTGAAATTACTATCACCAATTACCATACCCTTGGCTTTCTTTGGAGGTGTAGGTTCGCCGTTTGCTTGCAATGCAGGTTTCTTCTCATTTTTCACTGCAAGTCTCCTCTTTGGTGGCATGGTTGTTTTTTTGTAGTCCTCACAATTTTCACAAGACTTTCTACATGTTACACAAAAATCAGAAAGTCAAATTAAAACACTTCAATTAAAAAAATCTAAGCTAACCTCAGAATGCAGGAAAAGGTTTGAGAAAAAAAAGTTGTAAAAATTGTCACTACTATGAACTGATATCCTGGATATAGTCTTAATGTCAATGAAGACTAGCGTGACTGGCATCCAACCTAGGCTAGCCTACATGCAGGCATGCTCTCTCATGCACTCAACCCTCAAAGATCCAGATTATTTAGACCTACCCCTACAACAAAGGGGCTCGTTGTCCACTGTGCTCCCACCTGGGAGCGTAGCAGACAACGAACTGCACAGATCTGGGGGCTATTTGGACCATCTTTACTAAGATGGGGTAGATTTCCCTAAGAACTCAGCTGCTACCTGGTAAAAGTGGTCATAAGCCCAATTGCGATCAACTCTAAACTTTGCATGCATGATACAGTGCGTGTGATTGTGAAGTTTCAAATCAATCGGAGAGAGTTGTGATATAAGCTGGTAAGGCCTATGGTTATTTGAATTTCACGGCCTTACACAGGTGATTGGCTGAGCATGCATGTGCACTGGAAATGCATATTGGGGGACCTGTCTCCATAGTCTGGAAACACATGTGCGTTGCGTATGAACGCATGTCTGATGGCATAAGACTGATCTGAAAACTTTCAAGTGTTTCCTTTGTGAATACTTCAATTTTCCCTGCTAAATGTGACTTTTTGGGGCATGTTAATCAAGTTAATGTTTCTACTTTTATGCATACGGCTAGCCTAGGTAATTGTACTTGTAGGAAAAAATTAGCCACATCAACAAATAAGCCAATTTCCCGTTCCGGCGCCAAGTGGATTTTAAGTACCTCAGCACAAAGAAGTGGACAAAGCCAGATGGGAACAAACTGTCCACAACAATAACAATCGCCAAACGTTACGCAACGTTGTTGTCATGAATTTGCTCCCCTCTGTTAAGTCTTTTCTGAGCATGTGCACATGAAATGTGAAAAAGGCTTATGCATGGAATTCCTTCCATTCCATGAAGCCAGGCACATGAACAAAAATGCACTGTGATAATATTTGAGAAAAAAAAGGGGGGGGGGAATTCTTCCCTCACCCCCCTCCCCCAGCCACAGCCGGCCATAGTTTTCATGGTTTTTAGCATTCGCAAATAATGCATGGGTGATGTTACACAAGGGTAGAAGGCACCGAGGGCAAGATGGGGCAAAATCATTCATGCAGTATTTGCGATAAGGCTTATGGCATGCCCATTCGTGACTAGGCCTAGGCCATTTGTACACCATGTACAATGATGTAAAATCATGCAGGCCCTAGCTGCATAGGCCCTAAAAATAAAATGCTTAAACAGTTGACTGGCAACTGGGCTCTGTATTTGTCTCACACACACAGCCTAGAATGGCAAAGCCAAACACCATTCCGAATCAAAACACGACACATAGTCAAATATACTCTGTTACATTACTTACAGTCAATTTCACTCCCTGCAATGGAAGGAAAACTGAAATTCGTCAATCTAATTTTACCGCAACGTTGAGTTCCTGTCTCCTCTTTGCATTTGCCGGGTAACCTTTCACGTGCGTCAGGAAGGTCGCCCTCAGTCAAGAATTCTCTCATTATTTTATTTGAAAATAAAAGTAGAATTTAAGAGTATAAGTAAGAGTAACGCCAAAGTTAAATTAAAGTGACAAAAATAAGATTATATAAGATTTCACTTTTTATTTTAACAAAGTTAATAAATGTAAATTTTAAATTTGAAATAACTTTTTGAACGAGCGCAATTGCGTTCTGCACCTTAAACGGTACCTGAAAGGAGTTTTTTTTGCAGAAAATGCTCTTTTGTAATCAAAAATTCGAGAATAAATTAGCACAGTGCACTAAAAACCAATGTTAAATATTTGAATGGAAATATTTTTATTCTAGGTAAGTAAATTTTGCAAGTTATTCGACATTCTACTCATTTTTATATGTCCTGCTGGATATTGTGGACTGTACTCTCGTTCATTCGTACATTCCCTGCAGGTAGCGCAGGACGAACGTGCCCATTTCGTCCAAGAGAAACCGAAACACTTCTCGTTCATACCTGCCCAGTAACTGAGATCAGGAGATATTTGGCAAAGTGTTGAAAACAGAGACTCCAAAATGGGCGAAAGATACAACATCCACAGCCAACTGGAGCATCTTCAGTCGAAATACATCGGAACCGGCCACGCAGACACGACCAAGTGGGAATGGTTGGTGAATCAGCACCGTGATTCCATCTGCAGCTACCTCGGCCACTACGACATGCTGAATTACTTCAGCGTAGTAGAGAATGAGAGCAAGGCGCGGGTGAGGTTCAGCCTCCTGGAGAAAATGCTTCAGCCTTGTGGACCACCAACAGAAAAGCCCGCAGAGGAACAATGAGGAACGCATAGAACAATGATCAACAACTTGGTGGTAACTGCACAAAACAGCCAAAGAAAGTCTGAAAGTTATGCCGTCATGACTTTGTAGCCTGTTGGTACATCTGTTGGTAAAAATTACTTTGAAGGAGTGTGGAAAACTGTCAACACAGTACCTTGGTGTAATGTCCTGCTGCTTCTATGCTCCAAGTTCAGTGGACTTGCATCAGCTCTGGCTTTGATTAATTTAGTAGGCCTATTCTATTGGCCTAGTCCCAAAGCATACATGTAGAAAGGTTTGGACATGTTGGATGTGATGCAAGACTTCAGTCTTCTCCATTTCTCTGTGCTCATTGTTCACAAGGCACCTTCGATCCTGTTGGAGTCCTGATGGTTGCTTGCTCGGCCTGGAGCTCTACATGGGTAGTAGAAACGTCCCACCAAAACAATGAGTCCTGTGAAGAGATTAAAGAGCAGCTTTGCAACACATAAAGACTGGAGCTTCAAGTGCGGCATATACACGTACAGTGTACATGTATCTACATAGAGTGCACTAAATATGACAAGTACTTCGTACTCGGCCAGCTTATGTTCTGTGTAGCTGTGCTCCAGACATGACTGTCTCTTTGAATTTCAACAGTTCTGCTTAACTTGAGACTTACTTCTTTGAGACCCAGAGAACTTGTTTACTTTTTGAGAATATGACGGCTTGTCAAAGAAATTATTTGATCGTAAACACTTTACCATGGTTTCTGTCAGCCAGTTGGAAAAAATACATGTATTAAAATGAAGTCCACTTAATATAAAGAGCACTTAATTGTAATATTCATAATGAGGTACAGTTAATTGATTTGAAATTTGTTAATAAGACATATTTTGGACCTGGCAAATTACCTTGCTGTAACAGGAACCTTGTATTGTCAGGAATGAAAAGCAAAGGATTGAGACCTGAAAATATCCTTGTTATAAGCAGAATCTTGCATTAACAGTGCTCTTATTAACGAGGTTTGACTAATTCTGAAGGCCAGTACCTCTTTGATGTTTTTTTGGTTACATTTCCAGTCCTTTTGCAACATCGGCTCTGGTTATAGTAAGGTGGTTTGGCAGGCAGCGGCTGCGATTCAGTAATATTATTCAGAAGATATTTCCCTTCGATTTGTGTTATTATTGTGGTCAAGGTTTACAAGATGGTGAAACAAAAGTCACAGCAGGTACACAATGAAGTGAATTTGGTATGCTTGTGCCTGTGGGTGTCCACATCTTGTCTACATAATGGAAATACATGTACATTTAGCTCTTGCAGAGAGAATAGCTTAGTGTAAAATGCATTCATAAACATTCACAGGAAGTTTCCTGATCAGTTATTTACTGTTTAAGTTTTAGGTAATCTCTTCTATGCACAGTCTCCGTTGAAGTTAGGTAATAAAAGGTTTGCATGTTTTTGTAGCTGACCAGTGGTTGTCTTACAGCTTGTTTTATTCCTCCGTGGCATTTCTGTGAAACTACTCTTCATGATGCATTAACTCTTAACCCACCTCAATCCTCCAAAATCCTTCGGATGATTTTGGAGGAATTTGGAGGATTGAGGGTGAATGGCAAAAGTGCATGGCTGATTGCAAAGGATGCTATGCGTGAAGGTCATGGGTTAGACCTTTTGTTTTTGCTTAGTCATGCCATGCATGAATTCAGCCCTGTATTTCCTATGAATCAACTGAACTGCACAAGAATGCCATTTGCACTGCCTCAACGTGACAGGAATTGGCGGAGGACATTGAAGGATTGAGGCAGTAGACACACCTCCAAGTAACATTTCCAAGAAATTTGGGAGGATTGAGCACGGAGGCAATTTTTTCCCCCTCCCAAATTGGAGGATTGAGGTGAGTCGCCTAGCAAAGAGTCTGGGGGTTAGGGTTAAATACTTCTACCACCAGTCGCCCACTGATCCACACATTTCATGCATTTCCTTCACACGCACAATCTGAACTTCCACGGGTTATAAGAAGTGAATTAATAGACCGGACACTAAAGCCTGCAAATACAAATACGTGGGTATCCAAGTTTTACACTTTATTCCTCTCTTTTTAATGCTTCTTAAGTCCCAATTACAACAAAGTCCCAATTACAACAAAGTCCCAATTACAACAAAGTCCCAATTACAACAGATGCATTTCACTTGCAAGCAAACACTACAAGTTTATGTTTTCAATAAATGGACGGTCCAGTGGTGTACATAGAGTGACCCGACGAAAGATTTTGATCAGTTATGGCGAAACAACTTGAGTCCAATCCACCTAAGAAGTCCGAAGGTGGCTGTTACTGGCACGAGCGTCAATGGCGTGAGCAGCACGTAATAGCACATGGTGCCTTCCTCTAGACATTCCTCGGATAAGTCTCTATCTCGGTCCTGAAAGAAGACAACATAGGCAACTCCCAGAATGGTAGCGAGACCGATGACTGTGCAGAGGTACGTTCCCGTCATCGATGCCATTTGTTTTTAAAGGTTATTGTAGAGTTTCCGAGAGGATGCTTCACCAATTCAAGACCGATGATCAGGACTGCGTGCATGAACACTTCCAGCGTGTTGTTATATTTCTGATCAAGGCTGCATCTTTGAGAGGACATCAGCGTTTAACGTTCACATAGGAAGAGTGCTACGTAGAAGTTTGAAGTTTTCACCTCTCACTGACGTTGGATCGGGTGATACATGCAAAGCAAGTCGCGCTTATTTCTTCACCTGCTCTGGAGATCTGCTCCAAATGTCTATTTGGAATCGGTGAAGAGATGCCCTGTTTCTACGGCAACTGGACACCAATGCAAGGGACCACAGCGACATCACGTTATCTTTAAAACAAAACTCATCAGGAACTGAAAAAGAAATCAAAGAATAAACTCTTACATGCACGGGGAAACAGTAGTTCATTGATTGTGGGTGAGTCGCCTTAGTTAAAAGGATAAGAGTTGATCACAGATATCAATATCAGTGGGTACAGACACATATGCGGGGCTATTACTTCCTCTCTACTGACATCACTGAGAAATAACCACCCAGGTTTCATCCACCCTTCAAAAACAAAGCCAGCTCATACATAGGCCTTACAGCCTTCCATCGAGCCTAATGAGGTTGTACTTTGTACAACCAAGGTACTACCGCAAAGTTCTCTCCACTTTTCTTACTGGCACTTAGGCCTGCTGGTACTTTTCTAGTACAAATGTACTCACATTCTTCCCACGACCAGCTTGCTCGTGTCTTTTTCTGAAACCATGCACGAGTCATGACCTTGCGACATAGAAAACCATAGAGGGCGCTATGTCGATTTAGCAGCGTATTATATTCTATGCGTGATGAGTAATGCATCGTGCACCCAACTTCAGATGTGGAATTCATTTTATTTTGCAGTAGGCCTACATGTATCATATACAATGCTGATAAATCCTGGGTGAAAGTCGGATAACAATCATTTTTTTAAAAAAAGGCGGGTTCCCTGTGCAATTAACTTTAGTTTTCATGTATTGTTCATTGGGTTTTGCCAGGAGTTATCCATGATTGTGCCACTTTCCTATTTTCCCATGAAGCCATATTGTTGATCCGAGACAATTATTTACTTTCAAAACCTTTTGATTTTTTTTCTGGCTTGAAAATCGATAATTGGTCTGTCTGGGTGCGCACATGGTACAACACAACAGTCTTTGACGAGTTACAACATCGATCTGTCCGTCCAAGTCACTATAGCGTGGCGCTGTGTAGACCTCTCCTGATAAGATCAACTTGAGATCGATCCACGTACACTATGGTCGAAGACACCTCACCAGCGGCAGCTCAGTCCAAGGCTCCCGACAGAAAGTCCCGCCGCAGCCCGTCGGGCTACTCGCCCACCAGCGCCCGTTCAACTCTACTCGCGTTGCCCAAGACCTACTACCTCGCTCCGGCGGTCGCAGCAGCCGTACCCTGCCGGAAAATGCGTTTAGGAGGCCGCGGAGCGATGGGTCGCTACTGTCGCTTGCTTGTCGTGCTCATCGTCTGTAGCACCGTAGTGTCCATGATTCTGTTCTCCAGGCTGTGGTGGCTCGGACAAGAACTGACCGGTGGATGTAAGTCATTATAAAATTCCTTTCTTGTGAGGCCCTCAGTAGAGATATACACAAGTATTTATATTCTGTGCACGGGAACACGTCCATATTGGCAACGCTTCCTAAGCCGCCCCAGTAAGTGAACTTTATTGGGGGCTTCCATGAATAGCAACGTTTGGAAATTTAATAATTGGTGAACAGTTGTGACATCAGCACAAACGTGCCGATCTAGGAAAAAGACTGTTAACTGCGTGTGATCGACCGACTCAGTGAAATCGACATGTTACACTATCAGTCGTCACTGCACTATAGACAAAACTTGTACAAAACCGGAACATTTTGTCTGGGTATCTAGCACCAAATCGATGATCTTAAACATAGATGAATTTTTTTATCATGCGTTAATTTAATCACCGCGAAGACATGCTCATAACAATCAGACATGCGCAGAAATAATTAACTTAACAAAAACTACACGTGACTGTGACCTGATTATGCTTAATAAGTAAAAAGAAGACGCAGTAAAGCGTTTGGTTTTATATGTTTCTCGAAAATGGGAGTCCAGGGGGAAAAAAAGTCCAGAATCCCGTAGTCTGTGAGTGATAAACACAAGATAACATAACCCAGACACCTGCTACCCTTGCCGTCATTTATACATACATTTTGTGCCATGACGTCGTTGACAGTGAACATGCGCGACACTGTATCGTTTTTCTCAAGGTATATTTCTACAGCCTTATTTCGTTTCAGTAGAACAGGAAACTCGTGCAATATTGTCGGTCTCACAGACTTTAACTTCCGTGAACTCGGCTTGATTCCAGTGATTTCCTGACTAATTTCGAAGTTTAAAAGAACAAAATGAAAACGGAACTTTGCTCCTGGATTCATGAAAGTATAGCAGTTACAATAAAGATCAGGCAATTTGGTGAACTGCACTTAGTGGCTCAGAAATGGCAAGTGAAGCCTCTTTGAATGTCTCTGATAAGTAGAGTTCCTTTTGTGGTCGATGACAGCTTTCCCCGTAGAGTAGTTTGAGAAAAATCTGGACTACTGCTAAGCTTCGCCGTAAAATCGGTGTTACTGTTTACTTTCAGTGTTTAAAATCACACCATTTTCACCTTTTTATATATACGATAGCAGATGTCAGGAGCATGTTCGGAGGCCAACCTAGACTTGGTACGGGACTCGTTTTGTGAAGGCTTGACTATTTTTTCCCCACGATAACCGTCTTTGCCGTTCTAACACCACAATTAACTGGCTGTAGCCATCTAGTCTCTCTGCCAGAGCATCTAGAGCCGGTCCTGCAAGGGTCTTCCAAAGATGTTTCGTTGTGTTCATGTCACCATTATGTCTACATGTCACCATTTCAAGTTAACACTAATATCTGCGTCGCTTTCCAAATCTTACCTTGAATTAACCTTTCCAACCAAGTCCTTAACGATCTGTATCATATTCTGTATAGCCTAATCATGGGGGGAAAAATAGAAAGATAATAGTGTTCATGTTACACTGTGACGTTTCTTTAATATCGAGTTTCATATTGTAATTACATATCATGACTTTGACCGAAAATAAGGGATGGCGCGAGTTAAAACGAAATCGAATAACTAAATGAAATGATCATTTTTGGGGATTATCTCATGTCAATAGACTGCAAAGATTGACCTCTGACATCTCGGCAACAGCTGTCACGAATTCCATGTGGACCATATTTATTTCTAGATAATACTGTTTGCTTTGCATTTCAACTCTTTTTATTAAGCAAATACTAATTATAATTCTACACGGGAGTAGTAATCAGGAAAGCTATACATGTTCTCTTATTTCAATGCCTCCCAGCAGATAACATTATTTTTTACCTATAGCTCCAAGAGATGACCTTCTAAGACCTTGGCGAATGGATTTTTATGTCAACTGTTAATTTGTCAGATTTCGTTTTCGGTTAATAAAATGGTAATGATAGTGCAGGAGTCCACAGTGCCACAATTTGAACCGTTACCCTCTTCGGGTGCCTTTCCATTAACCTTAAAGGTTTAAAATAGTTTGAAGCCTGCCCTCTCGCGTCCGACTGACGTCAAAAATATACTTGCCTATCCACTACTGGCAGGTTGCCAAATCCACAAGCTCTTACTGAAAAGTACTGATAGACAAAACTGAATGAAAACTAGACTTGATAAACTAAAGACTACATCAAAACATAGCGCAGTCTTCGCTCTTACGTACACCGTGATGCTCTCTCCAATAGCTATTTTGTCCAGAGACGTTCTTGAAAATGCTTCCGTGGTGCATTATGTCACTTCAGACAGTTTCATCCTACATTAACATTGTTTCTATCCCTTTCGTCTGTTTTAATGGTCAGAAGTAACAAAATTCTACGCGACATATTTTTCACTTCATGCTTTATACATGTCCATATTCTTTTTGTCGCATAGCTCACGTGGTTTTCGCTTGGTATTAAAACATCATTTGAAAACGATGTCACAATTCTGAATTGACTATCTCAATCTTGCCCGTTTCTAGTGAATGGGCTGTTTGCAAGCGAGACAAGGAAGTTGATGGATCCATTCGAAGAGGAATTCAAAGGTAAGAATTCAAAGAAAGAAAATACATCCGCGCTCAATTTAATTTTATGTGTTTTTTAATTTTCTAAACCCATGTGCTCATTGATGGGGCTTCTTATTAGCTTAGACAAAATTGCATTGTCCATAAACTGTAGGGAAAGACCGGATGCCGCCATCCATAGAATCGATGGAGGAAAAGAAGAAATCCCACACGGGGGATGCACTCCTAGATTACTATCTGACGATGTACATTGATGGGAAGGAGATCACGTGGTACAGTGAGGTCAACAATAGGGACAAGCTAATGGAGGTGATGAAAGGTACGGTACCATCGAATGCCAAAAGGAGCAGTTCTAAAACTAGACATTTCAATCATTTTTGGTTCGAATATAACATTAACTTTTAAATGAAACATATCTCATCTACTTTTTCACAGACTATCTCGCTATGATGCTCGAAGCTGACGTACAAGTGAGATGGGATGACGTCAGCAAAAAGAAAAATGGCACAGCCGTCATATCTCCGAAGCCTACCACCCCGTCCGATATCACTTTGTCTGATTGGCTCACCATAGTCGCCCATTACTCTAACAAGGGCGTAAAGTTGAACTTCCCCGACACCAAGTCCCTTATGTATGGCGTGCCCGTGCTGTCAAATATGAAGAATATACTCCACGCCCCTGTGTGGGTTCACGCTGACATCTTGCCAGGGCCCAATGGCAACACAGTTGTTTCTGTGAATGTCGAGGATTTCATCAAGATGACTAGGTCAAGTCTATTACCTAAACTTTCTCTCTCGCTAGGCTGGTCCTCGGCGTGGAACCCAGACCCTGTCCAGCAAAGGTACACGTGGCAAAACGTCATCGCCATGGCAAGGGCCTGCGCCTTGATCAGGGCGCCAATCTCCTTTTCGGTGAGGGCTGTTTTTGTCTCCAAGTCCACTCGCCAGCTTAAGTGGCTGTTGAGCTTAGCCAAGCGCTTCACCGTCACTGTATGGGCTGACAAATACGACATTATGCCCGTGGCCGAACTGGCATACTTCAGGCAGGTTATGGACCGCAAGCGAGTGTTTTACAACCTGCCGGCGAGCTTCATGGAAAACTTGAAGGCTGTGAATCCAATTACCAAAGCTGTTGGCACGGAAGGAGAGGAAGACCAGGGACCCAAGTGGGATAGGAACTTGTGGGATCCGGTTCTGATCCACGACAACTCCCTGGCCTTTCTCGGCAAAGAGCAGGCGGTCCTAGACGGGCCAGGCAGCTGGCTGGTCTCAAAAGTGCCATACAAAGCCGAGATGAAGACATCTCACACCACAGTGGTCAGTGGTAAGGTGCAGTTTGTGGACACTGAGCCCGCCACGCCGTCGTCGAACTCGGGACTGGACGTTTACATCCGTAACTCCGGCGTCAACCCACCGCTGCCGGACCAAGTCCAGGGCATCCGCCTAAGAATACTCCAAGATGGGTCCCTCCAGCTCTCTCCAGTCAACCTGAACCAGGCAGGCGCATTCAAGCTACAGTCCACGGCAAAACTTCCCGCCAGCGAGTGCTACTCGTTTCAGCTGGTGGATAAAGGTGACGGGTACCCGTTGTATTGCATCGTGAAACTCTGGCAGTGCACCCCAGGAGAGAGTACCGATATGGACCCTGCGACCACCAGTGTGGGTCTGCATTTGAACGTTGCCTATGAGATGAACAAACAGCTATTCTACGTTGCCGTTAATGGTGGAAGCGACAAAAATGCGGTGGTTCTCGAAGAGCTAGCGGTGGATGACAAGGCCTGGATCTAAGAACGTCCCTGCTTGTAATGAGGCCTATCAGGGTTGACGAGCAAATGAAAGAAACTAAACCAGGACTATGACCTCAGACCCATGGCACCCGTGCTCTATCATGCACTACACCGTGCGGACATTCTCGGTTCCTCAACTGTCGTCTTGGGCGTCGTCTTGTGCTCGAAGGCGGTTTGGTCAGTGGCTACGTCTATTTGCTGTCAGATGGTAATGCCAAAAAACGGAAGCCCTGACCGCAGAACGAGTCGATTTGGACGTGGCCTGACTTCGAATGTGGGACTTTGAATCAGTTTCTCAATTCAAACTCGCAAGTTCGAGTGAAGGCCTTTCTTTGAAACTTTTGCCGCCATTTCATATCGGCGGACAAAGTTTGCAAGATGTTCACTGTTGGCAACAGCTATTGCCTGGAACTGCACATTACAAGCCTATCCCATTTAGTTCATTTAGTATTTGGTAGTAAGATTTATCGCTACTTTTAAAACTGCTTGAGAATTGTTTAAACACTGAAAAATTGCCCTTTTTTCTTTGCCGGGGATCGCCACAGTTTTTTCCTAACAGAAGATTGGAAAGTGGGTGCAGTCAGAAGCCATGTCTACGCAGTCAGCAGATATCACACCCGTGTATGACTTGGCCAATGAGCTCTACATTCCATTCGGGAAAGTAGACGGTCCGGCAAAAGAGAGTGATCTCCATCAACTTAAATTTGATCAGGATGATTAATTAGAAGTTTAGAATGCACCTTTGTGACGACCCTCTGCATCAGCACCGTGCTGAAATAGTCATGCTGAACTTGCCACTGCTTAATTAAAAAGTATGCACAGGTTTGCGTTAATTTCAGTGGTCCTTCAAGATCACATAATTGCATGCACGTAAATCAAGAACAGGTGTAAATCTTCAGCATGCTGCATGAGGCAAGTCTTAATCCAAGACTAAGACTTTCAGGGAGGGGATTTTCTGTACACAACCGTGAAAGAAAATTATTTGGACCAATGTAAATATACGTAATATTTCCATGTTAAAAGCGTGGTCCCAAACATTTGCCTAAAAATGTTGGATCCTTTACCTGTCTCTTACTGTCAGCCGCGCACTTTTGATCGATTTCACAAGAACCAATAACATGATCCAGATATTACAGTGTTCAGCGACACTGAAAAATACATAGCGTGATTTGGACTGCGGTCGAGTTACTGCCGCTTTTTGTGTAGAACTGTAAATACGTATGTGTCCATTTTGAATGGAAAGAAAAGGAGAGAATGCTTGACTGGAATCAAGTAATAAAAGTGATTCATTTGCAAAACAACCTGCTTCAGCTGTCACTGGTCTGTTCATCTGCATTAATCACAACATGGGACGGTGACCTCTGTCTGATCACACGAACATTTGTAAGCAACTGGGAGGAGATTCATGAAAGACGGAGGGGCAAACAGAGAAATATTTTCCTCATGCACCCTCTTAATGGAAATTGTCTACAGGTTTTTGTTTTGTTCCCTTATTTTGCACTTACTTCGAACCCCAAGCTCAAATTTGAGGCGCAAAATCTCTGGGACACGATTGAAGGAGGCCGTGATTTGGGGCAGATTATGCTCTTTCAACTGATACATTCACATATTAAAAAAAGGCAACAGGCATTCCATCATTTGTAAGAAAATGCTTTTCAAATTTATTTAGACACTGATTTTCTTTCTGGACATTTAAAATTACAAGAAGCACAACATGCATTAAAACTGAATATTTACAAGAGCTCAACAATTATATTATTTTCAGTAACACACTGACACCAAAGCATGCTTGTATTTTTTAAGAACTGTTTGTTTGATTGGTTTACTGAATTAGAAATATTTACTTGGTTCCTCGATTCATGGAACCCAGCCCACAGGGCTCATAGTGAGACTGACGTATAATACGTCTGGGCCCTTTAATGTCACACTCATTTCCGTTCAGATCCGATAACGCTATTTTGGAGAAAACGACAGGAGACGGAGGAGCAGTGCTAAATAATACGGGCTCGTATTGGTAGTCACAGTGTACATAATCACCGGTGTGCTTGTTAATTTGTTGGGAATTCGAGAGCTACGTCATTTCATGTAATTCTAGCCAAATTAGTATTGCGACAGAAGTTTTCTAGCAAGAACCAGCCAAACCAAGCATTAGATAGCCGGAAGGATTTTTCACAGCCAGTAAGTCGAATCAAAGCAGAACATTTTAAGGTGTTAAGTGAAATTATTTCTTCTTAGACGGAATCATGGGCGCCGACTCTGACGTTTCGCTGACGTCGTGATCCATCTCGACCGGATTCTGATATTCTCGGCACACACCGCTCCTCAAGTCCATGGCAACCAGCGAAATGTCCGCCTCTGGATTGGTGAAAGCGTCGGGGGAGCCAGCTGCGGCGTCCTTAGCGCCCTCTTTGTCGGCCACTAGGTTGTCCTTGGACACCTTGGCTTTGGCGGATGCTGCTGGCGCCTTTGTCTGGCTGGCAGCTGCCGTGCCGAGTCCAAGGTCGACTTCGTCGTCCTCGATCACGGCGCCCAAAACCTTCTCGCCGGCGGGTACGAAGACGGTAGCACAGGTCGGGTTACTGATGACCTCCACAGAGTCGATGTTGTGAAGCATGACCTTGGGGTCCTCGTGACGGGGGGTCTTCTTGCGGCCAAACTTGCAGAAACAAGCCAGACCGATGGAGAAAAGCAGAAGGACTAAGAGAACGATAAGAGGGACGACCCAGTTCCATGGAATGGAAGACCACACCATTCTGTCTCGATTCTACGATGCTTGACGCTGCCAAGACTATCTGCAATACAAAAAAATGAAGAAATAAAACAGGCAAAGTGGCACTGGACAAAAATCTCGTGCATGCGCCTGGCTTCAGTAAATGCACACGTTGGGATAAAGACAACAATCTGTTCACAAACTTGGTCCTGCCTTTGAAGAGAAACCGTTGAAACGAGAACAGAAATGAAATCTACAGAGTAGATTTGAATAAAAGGCTCTGAAAAGAATCTTGAGGTTTTTCGTTTCAGGAGGTTTCTCCTTTTTGGACAATAAAACTGAATAAATCTTTCCATAGAACATGTATCAACACTGACAAAAACATTGCGGTAAGGGTTTAACTCATCATCGCAACGCAGACAGGGTTCCAAACCAGGGGGAGTCTGTTGCCAGAACTATACATTTATCACTTGCTTACCCACTATGGGCACAAGACCTCTATTCTTAATGCTGCTATACGCCTTTAACCTTCACCTGACAGTGGTTACTAGCTTGGTACCCTCAAGTTCAGTAATTAGAAACGGAAACTTGACGACCGGTGACAGATCCCCCAAATGACTAACTCTTGCAACACGAACCTAAGGGATTATGAATCATGGTTCTTGCTCCATATTTTATTTGGTAAGACATGAGTGCAATTTACTCGAAGTTTCAATTACCAACTTTAACTTTTAATATGGCGAATCAGAGCTTAAGTGTGGGTAGTTAACAGGCAAAAGTTTTCAAGGTTTTAAAAAGAGTATTCAAATGATAAGAAAATTCAAGTCGAAAAAGCACTATTGGGAAATATTGTTTTGGACACTTCCTAATCTGTGACCCGACGGAAATCTTTTTGATAGGTGTAATTTTCCCATCAATGATTGTAAAATCAACACATCAAGAGACTCTTATGTTCCTGTTTTGAGGTATGACTTTGAAAATGATCATCCTGGACTGAACAACAATACAGCAGTATCTGTGATCCTCCAAAAATTATGCAGCCAACAAATACCATTAACGTATCGTTAGACGGTCATTTAAAACGAAAGGGCAGCGAGATTTTGTTTTCAAGCCTAACTCGGAGCCATCTTGTTTATGGACTCGCTTTCACTAAGTTGGTAATTTCAGTTTTGTGATTTGTCAAAAACTGATAGGATTCCAGGCTGCTAATATTACGGAAATTTTGAAATGCTGACAAGAATTCCTAGCTCAACGCAGTTTTGTTACTGTTGGTAGATCACGCAAATTAAAACGAGCCATCAGAATGTAAATTCATCTTGTGCGGTCCCTCGACCTGTGTGAGTACTTACTGTGGGTCTGTAGTTACTGCTAAGTCCGTTGGTGGCGTTCTTTATCTCATCTCACAGAGAATGGATTACCTCCTCCAAACCACTACTTCCTTCGCAAGTCCAAGCGTTGACACAGTAACAAAGAATCCCCAAAGTTATTGGTTTGTTTTCTCGTTATTTATGGTTCCCCTTTAGGCCGCATCCACACGTCATACCTACAAGCATGTGAAGCATAGCACTGCTCATGCGCACATGCGCGACTTCTGTTCGGGGGATGTAAGTCAATTTTTCTTACGCACTTGCAGGAAATTGGGTCTCCCTGCATAATAACTGATAGTTGTCAAGGCTGGCTGGTAAGGAGGGCTGTAACGATATGCACAACAGGACCATCGTGACTAGTCGACTGGAAGGATTGGACCAGATCTCAAATAACCGAGAGTGGGCGGGAGAGGGCGCAGTGATACAATTAATCTGCATCGATGCCCTTTCACAAGTGACAGCACCCCGCCCCCCCCACAATTCTTGCGCTAACATTAGAAGTATCGGACCACGGACTGGAAGAGAAAGGTATGAGATGAGGAACTCGGGGAGACATTACCTGTAACAAGGAAGGTACTGGTGGCCAGGGGTCGTGAGCAATCGACGGCGAGAAAGCATGGACAGGATGGCTTCGTGTTCCAGCTGTGTGTGCTTGTCTTAATCAATTAATTAATAAGTAAGTAATCAATACGACTGAAATTGTCTTCTACTTGGTAGAATTTGTTAATTTGTATTAACGTATGCAACAGGATGTGTTGAAATATTCCATTTACCTTGAACAGTTCATCTCATTCCCCCTGTCACCCCTCTGGCCATGTTATGGCATGTTCTTCTCGCAAGTAGTCGTAACAATCTCCTTATATAATGAAATTGGTGCTCTCGTGGCACATACTGCTGCTGCATGAGGTGGTAAACAGCCAGAGCAGCCCGTACTTCATCAAGCGCTTGAAGACCAGCCACGTGACGGGATCTCGACCAATGGGAATGACCCATTTGTCTTAGGTAAATGTATTTGTGAAAAAGGAATTAAATTGGGCACTATGTGCAGAAGTTTTAAGTGTAATGTTACTTGCGCTACTTCGTTATGTGTTCGCCACATTTTGTTGAGTATGGGTAGTTGGTAGTGTTGTTAGCAGGGCCAGTGTCGTCACAGTGCCGGTTCAGTGTCGTCACAGTGCCGGTTCAGTGTCGTCACAGTGCCGGTTCAGTGTCGTCACATTGCGGGTTCAGAGTCGTGACAGTGCCATTTCAGTATTGTCACAGTGCCGTTCAGTGTCGTCACATTGCCGGTTCAATGTCGTCACATTGCCGGTTCAATGTCAGAACATTGCTTGTTCACTGTCGTCATATTGCTGGTTCAGATTCGAAACTGGAAAGCCGATCAATTATGAAAAAGGCGTAAACATATAACTTTGTTTTGTTTTTATTTTTTGAGAGCAAAATTGATTGTAACAACCACCTGTTTAAAATAACAACATAAATTCTTAGAAAATAGCCGGATTATACTCGATTTTTTGAAAGCCGTAACCTAGCACATAAAAAGATATAAAGATTCACTATCGAACAAAATGAAACATCTCTTGATTTACATTAAGTTCTTTATCTTTTCAAGCCTTAACAGTTCTACAAAGAAAAGGTCTCAAATCAAAGTGCTGGTCGAAGTCTACGACTCTTGCCATTCATGGTGTGGAAGTGCAAGTAACTAAGGCTGAGCACCTGTCGGATTATTTTATCACCTGCAGACATAGGACAAAAACCAATTCACTTCTTCGTTTATGACTTCTAACGGCATGTGTATGTCTGGCTTTCCGTACGCTAAGCTCATCTGCCAGACATCGTAGAAAAACACACCGGTGCCGCGGAACGTGTCCCGTAATATGCGACCCCAGGCCCAAAGGGTATAATCACTGGCGTAGACTGCCTTCAGTACATTCTCGTGTTCCCTGGTGTGAGTACCTTTTAAGACAACGGGGACGTCAGGGCACCGCTCCCGTAACCGAAGCACAGCTTCCTTGAGAAGATTCATCCGCTCAGCGAAACTTTCACGTGTCCATTGGGTGAAATGGCCCCACGGACATAAAACTATGATGTATTCATTGCACTGGTTGCTCCGTATGTTGTCCAAAATATCCACCTCGTATGGGGTGGTATCTAAATATACCTTGGAATTTGTCACAACTCGTGGATGAAAATAAAAACTCGTTTCTATTTTACTGTCTTGATAGTAATGATGTATAACCATTTTGTCTGCTCCCGTTCCTAAGTGCTTCCAAGGATATCCCATTTTCTTTGCCAGCAGGCTGTACCAACTCCTCACATTCGAGTCGCCATGAATGAACACGTGTTTCTGACGTAAGCATTCCCGGACGGCTTTTACATTATCCCATTTCTGGACCTTGCACTGGAGGTGGTACCAGTCCGCGTCGAGCCAGAACCCATGGTTCAAAGGGGGCTCCTCATCAGGATTGCAAATTGGTGCTTGAGTTATGATAGTGGCGTTGCTTTGTGCTTCCGAAATAAAAAAGGAGGAAACATATTTAAGTTAACAACAGCGTAAGACAATATTGCGGGTATTTAGAGGTGGATAATAATTGAAAAAAATTGATAGTTAGGAAAGTACCACAGTTCTGTCTATAATTGGTATAATTCTGAAGTCAGAGAAGACCTTGTCATATTAAGTCAGACAGACAATACTCACTTCCGATCGTGATTTTCGGGGGTCCTCGTGTGAGTGGTTGCAAATAGTTCTTCCTGGAAAAAAAGTTCCAAACATTTAGCATATAAGTATAAAGAACATTTAGAGATACACGCATACGTATTTTCTTCTACAATAGTTCCACACACCTAAATTGTCACCTACAATATGAAGCCAGTTTATTATTACTAATGTGGCTTCACAGGGACCGACCTACCCATCAAACAATGCTGTGTCATTTTGCAGTAATTCCCGAGTTCTGTTGTTAACCATGTTTGGGTCGACTGCAACCGTTTTGAAATCTTCACACTTGGCAACTCGTGGCTTCTGACAGTAAAAAGCCGTCGAGCCCATGGCCCTGGGATTGTGATCGACGACGCACAGGTTAGAAGTGGATGTCAAATTTCTGTGCACGAAGCATAAGGCTGTTTCAATGGAGTGCCTCCCCCAGAACTCCGCTTTCCAAAAGACTCGTCTTTCGACCGGCCAATACTTTTCCCGCAGCCATTTCGTAGCCTCGCTCGGGGCTGCCAGAGTTATGTGCACGAACGCAGTTCCCTGCCAGCCAACATAGAAGTACACGCTGTACGAGCCGTTATTGTGGTCCACGACGGACCCAGCGGTACGCCCTCCCGTGGTCGGGTATTCACCGGCCTCGCTGGTGAGAACCGTAAACCAGAAATCCCCACCGGACGTCTTGTTCCTGCCATTTGAGTCCTTGGCTTGAATGACAAAATGTGCAGTGTCACCGACGTGGAGGGTCTCGCCCACCAGTCTGTAGGTTGACTTGAGGGCGCTCGTCAGTGCCCCGCTGCCAGTTAACAAAGAAGGCCGAGTCTTCGAATGGAACGACGTAATCCGGGGAATTGGCGACAGCTGTTGCATCGGAGAAATCTAAGGAAGGAAATTTGGAACATTTCCAAATCAGATGAACGAAAAATAAAAATGATGGAGATATAAGCCTTTGAAACCTACAAACAAGCTAGGTGGGGAGACTCTTTCGAAGGGGCAAAAAGGGCGCTAAACATGGAGTAATACTTGAACAATATTTTGGATACCTGAGCATCTTGCTACTCATCAGGCAATCACTTTTTCTTTTAACTTATAAAATTATTTTCAAAATGGAAACTTCAGACCTTGTCCTGCCTATAAAGGACAGCTTTAAAATAACCATGAAAAGTCTTCCAAATGTTTTTGAAATTCTCTGTTTTGCCAAACAAGCTGTAGGGTGAGGGTATCCTTGTAACATTTCCATATGGCTTTAACTTACGGTTTCCAAGCATTAAACATGGAAGCTTAAGTCTGGTAAACTTCGAAAAGCAAAAACCTGCGACCCACCGTCGACACGACACGATGGGTTGGGGGCAGTAAGACAACGCCCATTATCATAATGTGCCATGGCAGTGCAATTGGCTAAGTTCGTGTTGAATAATTTTCCCTGGTAGATAAATGTCGCCCCTATATTTTGTTCGGTACCATTCTGGTGCGCCGGTCTGAACCGGATGTAACTACTCTGTGCCTGCTGTACTTGATTGGTATTATATTGAAAGTGCTTCTGCAACTGGCAAGCCACATTTTGAACGTGTACATTGGTACTCATTGTGTTTACACGAAAGCTCCGTTTGTAAACTAGGGCTATAGCGTTCCTATGGCCTGGGATTTCCCCGTGACGAGAAATGGGCCTGTTATCGGTTGCACGACAATCAACCGTTATGGGCATTGACGGAATTTTCTCCCCCTTTTTTGGGGGGGGGGGCATAGCATTTTTTAGCGGTGGATCGGAAGGGGGAGGGAAATTTCCCCGGGCTGGGGGCCTTAGCGCTCAACGATATCATACCGACTAAAATCGGGCAAACCATACAAGCATCCAACATTTCGACTGGTACTTCAACTTGTAGAGAAGTTTTCAACCCTTTTTATCCAAAACTGAGTGTCCCGGTCCTCCTCGATTGCAACCTTTTGGTAATCATGAGTGCAGCATTTATGTCTCCAACAATAAGCTCCTATGGCTCTCTTAGGCCAAAGGTATGTTTCCCTTAACATTCAGCGTCAATTCCATAGAAAGACTGGCGATTCTCAAGCGACTAGTGCTAAACAAGGGCAAAGACAGAAAAGTACTCTATAAGCTTACCTTGACGTAAAGAACTACCGACAAGAAGACGGAGAGAACAAGAAACAGCAACGGCCAACCAAATCGGCCGGGACAGGGTCGGATGCAGTACGATACTTTCATCGTGCATGAATCGCGTGATGTCTAAATTAAGCGTCTGAATCTGCAGTGGCACTCTCACCAAAATCGACCGAGGCAAGTCGACTCATGAGCATCATTTTGTCGATGGCCAATCTTCTGTTACAAACCTGCGAGACACGTATGCATGCAGGATCGCATTTGCTGACGTCAATCGTTGGGTAGCGGGTACCCACAGAATTTGGGACACCAACGGAGTAATTTTTCAATTCCCGTTTTAGTAGTTCACCGGATATTCGTCATTTTCTCACTGACTTTGCTAGGACAAACTCATCACACGAGACACAAAACCGCAATAGCATGGTTGCATAGTGTCTGCACCAGACACTGGAGAAAATAGGCTGGGTTACCTGAAAATATTCTCCACATATTTCCCAGGAAATCATAGCGGAAAACAAAGCAAATGCAAGAAGTTTTTAAGTGCATTCTTAAATAGCATGCACCACATATTAAAGGTGCTATACATCTCCGAATTAAACGTAATTGTGCGTTCCTTTCGCTAACGTGCTCCCCTCCTAGGGAAAAACCTGGGGGAAAGAGGGAACTATGACCCCAATTTTGGGGAGGTCGACCATAGGATTACCATAAAGATATTTATGCAGTAGCCTATGTCTACATACAGGGAACTAAAGTTTTTCAGGAACTTAAAATTATTTGCCCCCGTGAAAGAATGTGAGCAATACGGGCGAATCACAACAGAGTGCCACCAAGAGTTTGCAACGCGTTGGCCAATCACAGTGCACAAAATCTGTCGACCCTTTCCAAACGCGCAAACAGATTTTGCGCACTGTGACTCTTGGTGGCGCACTATTTTGAAATTGCCGTATAGTGTAATTCGACCCCCAGAAGTAGAAATAATTACTGCGGTGGTGCAACGCTCAGGGACAGGTGGTCCGCGCACGTTTCATGCCTTAGTTTTCAGCCGGGCGTCGTGTTTGCCATATGCACGCGGGCGTCGAGCTAAAGAATGTGCGTGTGAGCGCGGCGCCACCGCAGTTATGGCGTCTAATCTAGACACTGCATGCTAAAACGAACCCTGATTGAAAGCACAATCATGCACCAGACTATTTTACATTAACATACATATCCTAAACTTTTGGATGTGCATGTGATCCAAATCCTGGGTGAGAGAGCAGGTAGCCATACGTCGTCAACACCATGGGGACGAAGTTGCCCAGGCGAGTTAATGATTATCGTGTGTGCAGAAAAACATTGTAACCAATGTTTAGCGCTGCTGTCCCTAATTAAGGACACATTTCAACAGAAGGCATAATCAGCGGCGTGTCCAGCTTTTAGTGTGTGTGTGTGTGAGGGGGGGAAAGTCAAAAGCAAATGCCACTACGGGCTCAACATGATGTTGGGGTAGAAAAAAACCAAAAGCCTTACTCACGGTACCAGCATCCTTGCTTTCACATTTGCTGGTGTTGTTTTCTCAGGGTGTTGGTGCTAATATCTGATAAATAAATATACCGATTACTTTCTTTCCTACCCACCTATGAAGAATTTTTTGCAAAAAAAAAGTCAAGTTGCCTCGGGCCCCACCCCGGCCCCCACATGCCACTTATTACTTACAAGTGCAATCGCCCCGTACACGCACGCTTTGACTTGGCATGCGCGTGCACTTGGTAAATCAGGATTATCCTATTGGTTGAAGACTGATATAACGCGCGCGTACCACCTGTACACGACGGTCGTGTCAATGGCCGCCGAATTACACTATTGATGGCTTCGCTCGCAGGAACACTAGGCCTATATAGGGGCGCATGCGTAAGCTGGCATTACGCGGGTCATGCACAAGGGCCCCGGACCCCACGCCGTTAATTCTTGGCATTCCACGCTCGCATTAGTTCTGGTCAAGATTACGTCCCTGCCCCATTCAATATGACAAGCAATGGACATCCTTGACTGTCAAACCTCAATAATTTTACCAGACGTTATATGAAATAATTTCATCACTCTGTGTCTTTTTTTTACTATTCAAAAGCCAGGACTGGGCTTAAGCTACAATCCACTTCTCCAGAAAAGCAGGTCTTCCACCCAATACAGCATGCATGGCAACGTTCCGTTCAAAATGCACGTACAATTTTTGAGCAAACAATATGTGCCTTCAACTCTTAAGGCCACTTTATAACTACCCCGTCTAGAGAGGAAAAAATTATGCAGATAAATCGTGGCGATTGAAAAAAAAGGTTGTAACTTCACTCTCTCAGCGACGCAGATCAAACTTCAGATCGAGTGCCAAGTATTTTCTCTAATTTTTCACCGTTGCACTTCGGCTACATTCACACACAATCATATCAGAAACGCATGATGTATCAGCGTCCATCACACACAACCTTCAGCATTTCAAAGAATTTCCCAGTAGAATAACCACAAGTTGATGAGGACGACTGGCTTTTACCACCATTTTATTGCTGACAAATTACTTTCAGCATCATTTTATTCATTCTGCACGTTGAACTGTAGCAACTCAAACTGCCAACAGTGACAACATTTAAGCTTTAAAAGCCTGAGAGGTTAAAAATAATAACACAATTTTAGCAATAATATTGTGCAAAATATTTTGTTCATAATTTAAATTACAATAACCTGGGTAATCCTATATAAAGGGGTAACGAGTTTGATGTTTTGGACACATTTCCAACAATTTTTTACTAACAATCTATTTCAGTTTTTGGTGAAACACCTGTCCTGGCCAAGTCTATCGTAAATTATGTGCCTCACGCCAGTACATGTAGCGTTAAAAATTTCCTTGTATGGAAATCGATGTGTACATGGTGTATACGACAAGATAGGGCATAGAACATAACAGTTTGTCGTGTGCCCGCCAAAAGGTCATAAGTGCGCTTACGCCCTTTTGTCTGGAAGCATGATCACAGTAGAAAAGATGTTCCCGGTAAAAGGGCGTAAGAAACACACTCTCTTTATTTAGTACAAACGGATAAAATTTACTACAAAATCAACACAGGCTGTGCAAAAAGCAACCTTTAAACAACTTATCAAACGACTTGGGAGATTTTTTTGTAACTATTTGCAAAGAAACCTTTATATTCATTAAAATAAAACAGTTACATACATACGTCCTTTTGGCAGCGATAATGTGTCCTGGCAAAAAGTCGTAAGCGCTTACAACCTACTTCTGGGCACACGATAAGTTATCCTCAGTGTTTTACGGGCGGTATATAAACATCCCAGTTTTTGACCAGTAGGAAAGGTCAAATTCTTATTAACATATTTACGACTTTCATTTTCACTATGCTGCCTGAATGAAAGAACTTTGATTTCTTAGCATGCAAAACCACAGATTATTTTCCATTGAAATGCCAGCATGCCAACTGGAGTGATATCGGCTACCATCACGTTTGCCACAAAGACAGCAAGGAAAGCAACGATTACCGGTGACATAACAAGAAAAAAAGAACATGTTGCACAGAGGCAGTCGCAAGCCTCTTCATTGATTTCCACACAACTCTTCATCCTCGGTTTTATCTGCAAGGAGTGGGCAACAGTGACACTCACTACAATGGCATGGATACACACGTGACAATGACCACTGACAATGACAATGACACATAGCTTAAATTTCTGTCCCCTTGCCTGACGATTCTCCGATTGTTTCATTCGCCTCCTTTATTGCACTTGGATTCGATTGCTCTGGCCGAACTGACGTGGCATCTGGTAGGTTTTTCAGCCTCTGTAGAAGCCAGTCATACTGAGGACGGAAAGGTTTGAAAAAATGGACATTGAAAGCAACCTAGAGAAAGTGGGACACCTGAAACTTCAAAATGTAATATGCATGTACTGTTGCAATCCATACTGCAGCAGATTCAGTTGGAAGACTGAAATGGGTGAGCACCTGGCTCTGTTTCTGTTATCACTACAAACAATCTTGTACCCATTCTGAGACAATGTTTCTAAAATTCCCCACTCTCTGTTTAAAATGGAATCAAACATTGCTTTGCATTTGCCACAATACAAGATCAAGTGACAAGAGCCAAGACAACACGGTCCTTACCGTGACAAACCAGGGAGAATTATTCCTGTACATCAGGCTACTGAAGAGCTTCATACTACTGGCTGGGTAGGCCATGTGAAGATGGAGGTGCTCCACAGTGTTGAACGGAGGCCAGTGGAATCCGACCCTGGTGAAATCAGAGAGGAACAGTGACAAGTGGAAAGGCTGTACCACGGGGGGCCAACAGATCTCTGTACAGACGACGCCACACTTTGTATGAGTGTGCTTTCTTAGATGGAACGAAAAAGCAAAATAACTTTGATATCTATTTTGAAATAGATCAGTTTTAAATCATTCAGAATGGTACAGCGGGACACAGAATACAAGATCGATTTATTTTAGAGGGGAAATTTGGAGTAAATGTACTATTACACTGTATAGACTTTACTTGAGGCCTTTTGTAAAACACTTGCTTTTGTTTTAGGCACTGGAATGTTGGCGAGATTTGTACGAATACCTTACACATATCAGTACCCAAGGGGAAATCCTGCCGTGTATACAGTGCTAGCAGAACAGAAAATAGTCGCATGAGCAGAGACTTGCAGATCTAGCAGGGCCACAAAATCAGACCTGGATCTACGTAAATCTAGAGTCTGGTGCTCGCATGGCTTTGTTCAAGAATGAAATTGGGTCACCTCCTAATGATTTTCCCTGTGTACTGCAGACAGGGACACAATGCTGTGTGGAATACTGTAAAGAGCCAGTAAGGACGCAATGCATCATGGGCATTGTCAGGAGTTTTTGCGGGGTGGGGGGGGTAGGCAAAGCATTCTCCAGCAACAAACTGATGAACCATTAGCAGTGGAAGGAGGTCTTTTTTCACTTCTCTTTTTTCCCAATATTTTTTCTGTGCCCTCCTTCTTCTGACAGACATGCATGGCAAGCACCAGTGCAGCAGGCAAGTATGTCACTAGTCTATTCAAGTTTGACAAGTCCATCACAAGACATTCCTGCTTTAGCCAAATTGCAAGCTCCTCAAATGAACCACGACAAAACACACTCCTTTGTCAATCTTCACAAGTAAATCTTCCGCCATCTTGTGACAGGACTTGTGATAAACCTGACAATTTGACCTGGCATGCTCTCCATGATTAATATGCATCCAATGCAGAGCATGTAAATCATATGCAACCCCGATTTTCATCTGAATGTGCACAAAATACTACCGTTTACACAAAGGAGCACACGTGATAATGGACAAATGGGAGCAAGGGTTCTGAAGAGTGACAAGTAGCCTTAATATCATTTTTATTTAACGTTGAGGGGGGGGGGTGCATGGCTGGCCCCATAGGCACATCTACTCCACCCCCTCCAACTGTCAACTGCTCCTCTGCCCCCCTAACAATTGCAAAATCTTACTTTGCATCGTCCAGGCTGCCCCCTTTCTGTTCCAGGACTCCTTGTCCAACATCATGAAGGTACTCCACTGGGAATATGTAAAACAACAAGAACTGTGAACATGGCACAAAATGTTTCTAGTTGCAGAGAGTTAAGAGCCTGTTAGCGCTCAAGTTGCCTTGGCGGATTTGTTCAACTTTAAGACTGTCTTGCATTTACTCTGAATGAATTCAGGAAAAAAGAGCTTAGTGACGCAGCAAGGAAGCTAACTGTATCCCAACAGAGGTAAACAAATTGACTTCCTGGGGAAACCTGCAGAACGACTGCAGAGCACGAGTGAGCAGGATTTGAACAGTAAGATTTTCAGAAATTCAGGGTAATGGCATCTCATGAGCAAGTCTGTTGCCATGATATTTTTTTTCCACTGATGCATGACCTTACCCATTGGAATGTCAGCTTTGGTCAGCGTCTTGGGGTTGCCATGGTGACAATTTGGAATGATCAGGAGATGCTCCTTGGCCGCCGGTCGAATGTCATAGAAGACTGTCACTTCGCTGTTCTAAAAAGAGCCATGCTCATTGTGAAAAGCTGAAACTTAATCACAACGGCGGTCTTTGTACCAAAATATTCTTCGGGAATGGATGACTGATCATTTTAAAAGCCCACATGACATTATATGATGTTCTATACCGCAGGAATTACGAGGCTGGCCTTTCTATCTCTCTGAGACGTGTGATGATGAGCTCTGGAGCTCTAGAAGAATGTAGGCATTCTGACAGCTCGCAGGATAATTTTTAGGGTCCTTACAACTTGAGGAGTTACAGCCAAGAGTTACATTTTTCAAATTTACGATGCTTTGTTCGCCCATGGCTTGATTGGCTAGCTTCAAAAGCTGCGCCATTGGCTTTGCAAGCGAACACTACGTCGGGGGTAAACATTATAAAGTCAGCCGCATTTCCCACCTGCCATTGCCAACATCGTTAATTGACTGAGGCAGTTGGACATCCACGTACAAGTAGGCCCTAATGAAAATGTTGGGCTATATTTATTATTTAATCGATTGATTAGGCCTATTGATTCGTCTACCATCAGCCAGTTGTAATTTCATCAGTTCACGACAGTTGGAAGCTGCTACGAGCATGACCAGCAAGATCAACTGATTTAGTATTTGCGCAAGTGCAGCAGGAGATCGTACAAACAAGCGCACCAAAAATGGTTGTGAAGTAAGCATGCATTTATTTCATTTCATTTATTATTTCGCAGGTCAAATCTACAATGAATAAAACAAAGTAAGTAAAAACAAATTACATACAGTAAAGACATACAAAAGACAAAGTTTAAATATAGCGTCAAACCTTATAAAAAGACTAAGACCCAAACACCAAAATAGTTGCATGCCCCTGCCGGATTACTAAAAAGTGAACTAAATCACTATCAAGTAGTTCTCCCATAGCATGACTAAAAACCATAAATTGCAAAATCGCAAACATTTTAGCGGACCACTTTAAAACACATAATCTCAAGCATGACAATAACCCTACTGGGTATTACAACATCCGTGAGTTTACATGTATGTGATAATTTTATGTATTGCACCATATTAACAAGAAAAGCAAAGAAGACACCCCGATGGTAACTAAAAATCTAAGAACAAAACAAAACTCCCACAAAACGAACTCCAAAGAGACAGTCGACAAGAAACAGGCATGACAGGTGACCCTACAGATGAAGAAATGCAACCTTCTATTCTGAAGGGGTCTGTCTCCATTACAAAAAGGGACTAGGTTCGCATCATTTCAGGCACAGGGCCTATTTTTGTATGATGCACAGTATGAACACAATGAACGATGGAGAAAAAACAATGTGATCTAGGACTAGACAAATTCAGACCGGAACTTTAAAAACCTACCTTAAACAGAACACTGCTCGTTGCTTCACCCCTCGATATTTTACAGAAGATGCAGTCCTCCTTTATGACGGGCTCTTTACCTTTGGTAATGACATCTGATTTGAATTTACTTGACAAATCTTCCATTATTGTGCTTCAAGATATCTACAATCACACCATGGAGGAATAAAACACAGATCATACGAAGTCTGTAGACGTCGACCGCACTCATGGCACCGGCCCACCGCAGTACCGGCATGATACGGAAGTTTGCGCTTAACCAAGAAAGCGCCGCCACGTGGCTGCTTCTGTCCATGTTCGCCATCTCATGCAAACTGGGCGTGGCTTCTGATGGTTGGATATAGACTGGACGCAAGATGAACACGGCGCAGATGCACATGCGCAGGGGCTAACAGGGTGTGAAGCCACTGTTCTCCATTACAAAGGAGATCGATGTGTAAAGCATTTTTTTAAATATAACCCTGGCTTCAGTCTGTGTTGACGAAACGTTAACCCCAAATGGAACGAGATGAATATTGTTTCAACTTCACACAGGCCAGTTTTAAATTTTTTTCTTCGTGTTTCTTTTCCCAGAAATAATTTCATATTCTGCTTGTAATGGTAATATTTTTTATTAAGCTACAATTGTCTAATTATGCTGGAGGACAGAGTTCCACTTTCCACATCGAAGATCGTCGAACATGTTTATTGCCCGAGGACCGTAACTGCTTATCAAATTATTCGTCGGTAGGTTTCTAGTAATCCAATATGGAACCCATGTAGTGCAAAGGCATACGAGGCGCACGCGCACTGTACGCCATTGGCCGTTTTAATTTATCAAGTCGACAAAAATACACAAATTAACACAAAATTACACCGTCATGAATAAACAAAAACAAAACGAGAACATGCGTCTGCAATGGTACTTGAAAGCTTTTTATTAACCAAGCACATATACGCCTGTTAAGACACAAAATGTTTTAGAACAATACTGTTTGTAAAGGACGTAGAAATAAATGCCATTTGCCACTAATGAAATGTTCGATCGAACCATAGTCCACACAATCTTATTCAAACGTGGACGGGAAAGGTCAGTTACATTACGCTCGGGAAAATACTCGAAAAAGAAAAACACTCGTAGTACGTGGAGAGATCGTTTGCATGATATCTTAAGGGTTAATTGTCTGTTCCGTGTCCCGGGTAATGTAACAGTACATCCAAGTAAATCTGTTGGTTACATACTTAAGCTCGTTTGTGCCCTTCGCAATAACGAACATAACTGAAGGAGATGCAAACAGTTTTCTTTTTAAAGTTTTTATAACGAAAAACGCAGCACTAAACAACTCTAAATAGTACTCTATACGATCTGGAATGTTCTTGGTTCTGTGTGTAGCAAAAATAAAACTTTAATCAAGCATGCAGGTGTGTCGAGTGTCAATTCTAAACATGAACCGAAGATTCGACGGGAGGATAATCACTGAAAAAGAACAGCCTCTTCCCTTCGAAACTAGAACAAGCTTCCAGAAAAACAATGACAAAGACCCCAACAGGCTTAAAGTTAAACAGGAGCAACGGAACAAGTTGCTAGTCGAAAACATGAACGCTACAAATCAGCTTTAAGTACAACTCCATCTTTCATTTTTGTTCATTTTTTTTTAAATCAAGGTTTCCTTCATTTCTTCCCTTACAGTTCATGCCCTCACAAACGGGAATTTGACCTTCTTTTTAAGTTTAGTACTTTATTCTCTTTTAGCTGAATGGGATGGAAAGGGACCGGGTACATATCAGTGGTACAGTATTTTCACGAACCTTACGGCGATATATCACGCGCCTGGTGTAACAAAAACGCCAATTATTAGACGGAAATGGAAGTTGAAGTGTGAATCAAAAGCACAAACTGGCCAAAATTTGGTCTTTTTTGGAACAGAAAAAAATTGGTATTGTTACTTTTCAGTCATCAAATACCTTGGTCCTTCCGAGTTGTTTCGCTTTACAGTTGTTCACAAGAGTGAAAATAATTTGTAATAATTAGAAATCAAATGTACAATCCAATGACCTCAATTTAGCTTACTCTGAATGCCATCAGACCGGTAACAAAACATACTAAGAACTGATTCTCCTAACTGCTTTATCTCACATCAGTTTACAACTTAAAAGGCAAAATAAATAATTTTTGGCATTTTCTTTTTCTTACAAAAATCATTTGGAAGAACTCAGAAATAAATACTCATTCTTAAATATAAAAGCAAAAACTCCTTTTCTTTAAACATTAAGGCAAAAATACAAAAACAAAGCCAAAACGTCCCCAAATCCTTCCCTCATAAAAGACACAATCACTTCGTATTCCCCTAGTTAACTCTGTGATGCGAACAGCTGTTGTGGTTTTCCAAGGAAAAGCTAAGAAAACAAAACGAAAAACAGGTACATTTTCATCACAAGTGGTATTACTTTAGCATTACGGTGAAATCTAAGACTTCGTGAACTGTGTGGCAGTGCGGATGGTATACATCGAACAAAACATGCACATGTACATTAAACATCGATTTCTCATTTCAGTATACATCAATGGATTGTTGGTATCAAAATAATTCAACATCCAGGCATTATCTTTTCCGGTCACCACCTAAAACATACTCTAAAAGTTACACGTAAACTACACACGCGGATGCTACTTCGGGTACATTCTGCTACTTCGGGTATACTAGTTTTAGCCATGCAGGGGTTTTTCGTCCGGTGATGTGAAGCTCACAGTTCCAATGAGCGTTTGGAAAGGGTCGACAGATTTCGCACGTTGTGATTGGCCAACGCGTTGCAAACTCTTGAAGGCGCACCAATTGTGAATCGCCCGTATTGCATTGGTGTGGATGCAAGATTGAAAGAGAACTGTCGTATCAAATGTTTCGCGCAGGGTGCCAAAGCCTTAACCACGCTAAGAGGATGCAACTTTGGTTTATATAATAGTTTTGCTCTTGTTTTTGGAACGGAAGTCTTGCGTCTGGGCTTCTGATGCGTGAATAGATATACAGCTATGCTCTGTCACGGGCAGGCGAGATTAAATTTCAACAAAAGGTGTTCAATACCCCGACATTACACTCCATCCTGGCAGACTTTTGACTACAGTAGCGCTGTTAATCATCAACTCTTAACTATGTGTATTGCATGGCACTACGTTGCTCACAAAATGTACAACTCTACGGACAGGACTCGACTTAACAAGCCATGCAGAGTCCCAAGTACGAACCTACAACTATCAGTACTTTACGCGACAATCACAACGAGATACTACCATAGAAACTTCTAATATCGACCTTATTACAATGCCTTCGTGTAATTGGTTTTTCTCTCTGTTATCATACATACGTGAAGCTTAATACATTTACAATATCTTCAACAGCAAGTGCCTTAAAAAGTGACTAGCCCAGATTCCAAAATCTCAAAAAGCAGCAATTACTGAAACTTCCATTCTGAAGAAAACTGCACAGAAAACAAATCGTGGAAATACCAAAAAACCACACACTGGTAAATTTGCCTTTCTTGGCAAAATTCCTAGGACCTACGACCCCATGAGAGCAGTGCCACTACATTATTGTTTTTTTCAAAGACAAAAAATCAAAGTAACTGCACGCTTGACTTTTACCTCAGGTTGGATTTCATTTCAGGGTTATGTTTTTCCCTCAGCAATGTGCCCAGTGTTTTAAAAAGATGAGATACTCCTTGTGATTGAGAATGAATTTCCTCTGCTCCTTTGCCACATCCATGAAACACCCTCCGTCCATGACAGGTTAGACTTTTCAAAGCAATCAAACTCCATAATTCTCTCCAGGGCCAGTCGTTCGTATTCTCATCAAATTACAAATTATTCATGTACATAACTCTACTCTATCAGTGCGAAAGCACAGGTATATGGGTATGAATATTTATGAATGGAGTGGAAACCCAAAGACTTGAGATATTCACAAGTCAATTTTTGTTCTTCAAATTTTCATTTGCCCATGCTGATAGCAATAAACTTCTCATGAACGTGAGTCAACGTATAAAAACTTGTAATTTGACAGAGGCAACCACTGAAGGGATCACAAACCTAAAATGACAAGATTACATCCCTGTGTCAGTCGGCCCCACTCATCTTTTTAACACCATGCCACACCCATATGTGCCACACCCCAAAGCCACGCCCAGTCTACCGACTTATCTGCAGCAAAGGAGCCGAGGAGAATACTAAATGCCTCCGATATGGGGGGGGAACCACCAGTCACAGCTGCGCCTGCAGCACGTGCACCTAAGTCTGCGGGTATGCTTCAGTTTGTACATACATTACACATGTATACAAGGACGATTGTTGAAGAGTCCAGGGAGTCACGTCAAGATGTATGCATAATAACACCCAATACAAGAAAAACGCCACTGAAAATGTAGCCGAGACACACAAACATAACGTGACTTGACACAAACTGCACCATTCAGTTGTATTGTTTGATTTCCACGCCTACTGTTCATTTATCAACTACTTAATTGCCCCTGTACAATATAATAAGGCACGCCAAAACATAAAAGTGTGAGACTTCTTTCGCGAGACACTTTTTATGGTCCGAGAGACCGCAAAAAAAAACCTGAACAAGTAAACAAAAACCACAGCCATGTGCTTGCCAGTCTGGGACCAAATGATTCCGATTTTTTTCTTCTCTTTCCCTTGTTGCGTATTTCCATTTTGAAATGATAAAAATTACCTCAGAGGTTCTGAGTGTCTTGAGTTGCGTTGTGCATCACTTATGTTGTACTCGCGCAGGTGATAGATTTACAATAAGAGGGAGTGGGGGAAATACATGGATATATGAAAGGCTGGTGTGAGTATACGTTGGCGATGCAAACACCCAGGAACTACTCTGCTCTGGTCACGTCTGGCGCAGTCGTTCCTTCGCTTTCAATCAACTCCTTCTTCTTCGCGAGGACTCTTGCTTGCTTCTCGATCTGTTTACCCCCCCACAAGAAAGGGTTACAAAGGCCAAATGAAACACTGACGTTCCATGCAATAATATAACTCTAACAAATTATGCGACCGATGAAGTTTCTGTGGTCAAACGCATGATCCCACTTTTTAGAATTTCTTTCAACACAGAAAACTGCCTCATGGATTTCTTAACAGCTTGTGAGATAGGTCTACATGTGAACATATCCCATACACAGACGGTCTATGCAAATGTACACCCCACGAGAAATTACGCATGCTGAACTAAAAATTAGCACATGAAAAATCTCCTTTAACGTCATCCCCAAACCAAACTTTGTACATTGCAATCGTGTGTCTTTTGAAACATTTATCCGCCCAAGGAAAACTGGAACAGGGGGCAAAATTTGTTGCGTAGGACTGTGACCCCCCCATCAAGTCTCTAAAACATCTGACATTTTGTCCATGCCAGACAGGGGTGTGCTTCATGTAAATGCAAGCCCACGGTCTGCAGACGTAGACCTGCCTGTGTGTCAGGATGAGTCATTCAGGGAGGTCGGGGCTCGCCACACAAACACATATCACACTGCCGGCTTGTCCTCCAACCCTGCACGTGTTTCAACACTCGTCTCAAGTGCAAGCCGACTGCATAATGCGGAGACTATGTTAAACATGGCAAACCACATGCTTTCATCAGGAAGCGTGATATTTTAATGTGTTTTTTTTTTTCAAAGGTGTGAGATCTGGCATCTGTTCAACTGATTCAAACCGAGATGAATCACTTAAAGCCAATTCATAAAAAAACTGTCAAATTGTCACATTACTGAAAATTCACTGACAGAATGAGAATTATTATTTTGTATTTGTTTGCAAGAGAGAAAGTAATTTGGGGGCTGGACAGAAAGTCATGATCGTGAAACCCGGTGGATCATCAACTGGTACATGTACATGAAGCTTCAATTTTGCTTGGAGGAGGGGGGCAGGGAGAGAAGGGGGGGCGGAAGGAGGACAGGATGATGGGGGCACCAGCAAGACTCACCATCTCTTTACTCTTCTCTTCTCTGGCTTCTTCCTGGGCCAGTTTATTCTCCATGTAATTCCTGAACTTGCTGTCCAGCTTGACCTCGGCCTCCTTCTTGTATTTCTCCTCGTCCTCCTGTCTGAAGGCCTTCTTCTGCTCTATCTTGTTCAGCTCCATGGCCAGCTGCTTCTTTTTCTCCTTCTCTTGTTGCTGTCGACGGGCAACACCAAAGAGGGAAATACGTACGTGGGCATTCCTGATCAGGCACTGAGGACTGAACGAGGCTGCCATTTTGGGCCAGGAGCGAGTAAGATTAACCACATAAGCCCACTTTAATCAAAATGACAGCAGAAATCCAATGAAAAAGCCAGCTGCCGAACAAGTCAGCATGCCAGTCAACCAACAAAGCCAACCAATTAAATCATCAGTCACCCTGGCAACACATGTACATGACCAGCCAATCAGCGGGCCAACCAGCCAATCAGCTTGAGGCCAGTCAACCAACATGTCAACCAAGTTGAATCTGCTGAGACAGCCAATCAACAAACTTTCACCCAGCTAATCAGCAAGTCAACAAGCCAGTAATCAGGCAGGCTTATCCAGCCAATCGTTACGTCAGCTACAAGGTCATCCACTCTCGTTAATCTTCCTTACCTCCCTCCTCTCTTGGGCTGCCTGTTGCTTCTTTTCAATTTCTTCCAAGGAGCTCTGCTTGGGCGGGGACTGGACAGGGCTCCTGATGGCCTCCTTGGACGGCTCTTTAAAAACCAGCTCAAATGCCATCCCAGAGGACTTCTTGACTTCTGGAAGGTCAAACAAGTCAGTTAAAGACATTGTTTTACTAACAATGCTCTCTGCACCCCCTCCCAAAAAGGATTTTGACTGGTGGGGTAAAGAATATCCAGTAAACAAATAATAAAGTCTTTAGTATTTAACGATTAGCAACAAAAAAGTCAAGCATATTTCGGATTCCTTTTTTTCTGACAATATCAAATAGCGACACAGAGGATGTGATTAAACAAACAATCAAATGAAAGGCTCAGAATGCATATAATATCCATTTTTTTCTCCACAGTTTAAGAAAATCAGCTTTTTACGACATAGCGGCCATTACTTTATGCTAGATGTGGACTGCTTACATTATATCTTGAGAATTTTGGAAAATTGTCATTCAACAAGAATTTAATTTGTTCAGAAGGAAATAGTGTTGTTGTAAAATTTGTTTAAGTGGTTTTTCCATTTGAAATCTTCAAATTAACCCTCTTTATTGGCAGACTCTACAATTCCACAATTGATAACTGCTCTTACATTTTACAACTCAATCCAAGACACTTTCATTCAAGCATTTGGCCTCAATTTCAGAGGGCTTCACAGCTAAGAAACTACACAATTTATTTTTGTACAACCATCTACATGTACATGTCATTTCCAACTCGGCCGCACGATGCCTATAGACATGGCAAGAAGGTATCTCTCCCAGAAATGCACCAATTCACGGGCAGTAAATCTCAAACCTGTGGCATAGCGCTTACCAGTGGGCATGCAACCTTACAGCTATGGTCACTGGCCCTGTCTGTCCACCATCCATGCATAATGCAATCTCTGTTCAATCAGTGTACCCATGTGGACCTGCCGTGGGTCTTATTAAACATTGCATACAGGGGGAAAATAGTCTCGCACCTGCCACTGACAGTTCCAAGCAATTTACACACTGCTTAGAGCATGCCATTTTATTTGTGCATCTGCCCAGAAAATAACGATGCATTACATGTAGATACACTTTCACTTGAAGACTTCATTAAAAAAAGAAAGTGCGGCAGTCAGTTATTAGCACTTGTCAAAGAAGAGAAAATCAAACACACAAAGACCCCTTTTGGCAGTCCTTGATCAAAAAATCCTACAGATTGTATATGTATACATGTATGTGTATGCTCACTCTCAATGCTGAAACGACAAGCATTTGTCAAAATGCACAACTATCGCAAAGCCTTAAACAAAAATCAAGAATCACTTTCTCGAAGCACTGCATAATGCGTTGAGTCAAACGCCTTGCTCAGAATTGCAAATGGGGTGTATGGCAGACCGACAATTAGCATAATGTATCACTGTAATTTGGTTTGCGTCTGATTCATGCTGCAATGGTGTAACTCAACCCTGATTAATCATTGGTATTTTCGGATGTGGAAAATCTCATTAGGGCATTAACTCGGCTGAGCACTATGCAGATGCATAAAAATGTGGTACTTAATATTGCTTCCTGGACAAATGCAAATAGTAACATTGATTTATGGAGTATAGATGTGCAGTACAGACTATAGAAATAGGGGGTTCCATGTTAGAATGCCATGATCTTTGCAATCAGATTATTGCAAAATCTGTTTGGTAGGCCTACATGTACACAGATTTTCTGCGTGATATGTATCCACAGAAAACAGATTTGCAGATGCTAGCTTTTCTGTGTATCTTTTGTCAAAAACTGCACAGTCGCGTAAACGTAATCTTCAACTCTGCAATGAAACTGGAAAGACTTTGACTCATGCTTTGTATTCTAAGCCCATACAAAATAAACAAACAAACACCCCAACAACCAACAAACAAAGAAACAAACAAAAACAATTAAGGCCCGTTTCCAAAGATGAATTCTTCTCGTCAGAAAATCACTGGTAGGTCATTCTATAAATTTGAGGTCCAAAAAGGTCACATTTTTGGATTCCCTGTTATGCCTACACTGTGTAACACGACATGAATATATCACTGAAACTGATTTCAAACTATTTTTAGCTGTTTGGCAGGTCATTTGCATTAATTCCTCACTCTTGGACATTAGAGATTTTGTTCTGAACTTACAAACCACATGTCAGATGTGACAGGGACACACACAAAAAAAATCGGACGCCTAATTTATATAATTACCCTGGTCCAAACCCAAATTATACGTAATAATGTTTAAGATTAATTGTTCACAATTACATTTAAAACATTTCGATAGCGAGGATATTTATAAATGTTATGTTTCTTTGAGCCTCAAGTTGATGCTGAAAAAGATTTAGGCAGTGTGCATGTCATGGAGCTTAACCGATAATTAACATCGTTTTAAATGGTATCAGTAAGAGATCATGCCAGCACCATCTTTAAACGATATGAGTCAGTCAAATTAAATCCCTCACGTTACAACTTCACGAGCAGAGGTCAGCATTTTTTTTCTCTCTTCCGTCTGCCTCAAAATGTCAGAGGACTACCCATGACAACATTGTCAGTATTATTCCCCTCAGCACATTCATAATGACTCTACCGCCGTGAATGCATTCCATGAATGGGAGAATATCTCAGAGCCAATGCCTGGCCATGCTCTTGCGTGGGAAGTCAAGACTAATGAGACAAAGCCAAACGTCGAAATTACGATAATCGATACTGGTTATTTGTTCATTCAACACACCATTGTAAGCAAGTCCAACATCAAGGAAACTCAAAGTGGAAGTGTAAAACATGACAGGAATATACACCTGCTTCTTGAGAATCTTGACCACATACAATGTAATTGACACTTTTTGATTTAAAACATTTACTAAAACAGAAATTGACCTTTTTGTCAACAGAACCCAAAAGAACCCCAAGAAATTAATGCCACTCTGTTCTTCTAAACACCTGACCTTGTAACTCGGCACATTCATTTATCCAACAGCACTGGCAGGATAAAAACATTTCACTTATGGTGCCAACAAATTTATTTGGAAGGGACAAATATTGCGTGGCTATTTCTTGTCAAAATAAATTGCAATTATGCACTAGGGCTCTGCAGTGCCCACGTGCCCAATGTGCACTGCGCATTTTTGAGTGGCAGCTCGCCCGGGTCATGTATCACCGTCTGATGGGCACATTATAAATCTCTGGCTCTCTCTTACTCTCATCCCGCTGCCGAGGATGAGAGATGGGTTCTAGTTAGTCTATCTATCAATAGTGCCCTGGATTGAATTTCATCCCGTTGCCATCCTTGCCCAAATTAGGGGTAAGGAGAGTAAAAAACAACCCACACTAGCTCCGTAATGTTAATTAATGATGCTTCCACCCAGCTGGAATTCACAATTTCCCTTTTATGGCAATTCACATTTTTGAGAACAGTCGGTGCACTTCAGAGGAACCAATTTTTTTTCAGCTGCTGACAAAAAGGTCTCAATACACATACCAGCAATTTTTTTTTTAAAAGCTCTCAAGCATTCAGACATTGGTAAATTTCATCATATTACAACATCATGTGCAATGCAGAAACGCAAAGTCTTTTATCTCTTTTTCCATTGAGGAGGAAAGGCTGGTGGGAAAATAACATTAACACACACAAACATCTGGTAAGATACATGTTTAATTAAATGAGGTCTACACAATTAATGCGCGAAACCCGAGACTGAAGGGCAAGGAGGAACTGCCTTGGGCACGGATGGAAAGTAAATAGTCACGAATGGAGGGGGGGGAAGGAAGCAGTCTCTTACCTGAAGGCATGTCTGCAGTCTGCATTGGGCAAGTCTCACGACGACCAACTGCAAAGGTACAAGAATATGGATAAGGCACTAACCAACAAGCCCCACTGCGGACGATGCAAATGAATCGCAAATCTGGAGAAAATAAGGCAGATGAAACAGCTGCTTAGAAGGTGTCCCTTATTTTCGGCAATTTGGGGAAAACAACACCGCTGAGAATTTTTATAGAAGACATGTGATGTACATGTACAGCGCTACTAGGATTGTATGCACCACGCTTTGTCTTTGACAAACAAAATTCTGGGAGAATCCTATGCAAACTGTCCAGTCCAAGTGTTCATTTGCCCACATTTGATGTAGTCACGACACGCCCAATACAACAAAAGAGAATATGCAAGTATGGCAGGTACACACTTATAAAATGAAGATTTTTTTTCCTAAAATGCCTTGTAGAATTCTGCACACCATGGCATGTTAATCATCCAAACCTGTGGAAAAGACGGCAGTAAATCAGTAATTCCTCATAAAAATGCCGGATATGGCAATTTGTATGCGCCGGGCCTTTCTACATATATGGGGCTGTCTCTTTACGTGGAGAGATTGAAATACGGTCTCTGTGCGGAGAGTGCAGCTGAATCAGTACTGCATGAAAGAAATTTGAGCCCGAGTGCAGGGCCGTCTGTTGTCTTCAGACTGCACTCCCGTCCTCAGTCCGTGGTGCCCAATGCCGATGATGTGACGAGTGACCTGTGATCCTCTCTACTGAATGGGCCCCGCATCCGATCATCATCAGGCTGACTGACGAGACACTGTCCGCATGATTATGCAAAGCAGTGATGACTACACTGTATGGATCGGGGGCCGACCCGGCCAAGAGTTATTCACGATGAGAAAAAAGCAGCGGGCAGGTTGACTCAATGTCTTGACTTCTGCACATTTTTTAGGCACACACACAAAAAATCTTAATCTTTTTGCACTTCTTGACAGATCAATATAACTGGGAAAAATTGAACAATTAGAGTATCCTCAGAACAATACTTCTTTACACTACGTTTTGGAAGGATATGTGCTTCAGTGCATTTTCCTGACATATTATTATCATCTGCATTCTACCAAATCACAAATATTTTAAATATCCCAAGTTGCAAATTCCATTTCTTGCCCGACATGTCAGAGGCTAATCTACAGTGACAAGGGAGGCGGCATGAGGATACTTGCTCAAAAGTCCTCGCCTGAGAATCAACAGAATTAAAACCAATTCACAAAATGCAACAATCCATGCTTGTCATCACCATAATGAGATGTTGGGAACTGAACGCTGCAGTGCTACAGTTCCGAGCAATTCAAGTCCTGGAGGCAAAAATACCTGTGTGAATGACGAGTTTAACAGTTTATCTTTCTGTCTTACTCATCTGTGGACCATGACTCAGTTTTTATCATCCGGCAACCTCTCCATGGGTGACAGCAAAGGAGGATACTGGAGTGTGATTCACCATGCACAGGTTGTGAGGAAGACTACCAACAGTGTCTCAAAAACCAGCACCTGAATTGCATTTTGCTAGATGAACGGTCTTGGTTGAAACAAAAACCATTAATTTCAATCGATCTCAAGTGATGATTAACACAGCTCACACTTGAAGCTTGTTAAAAGAGGAGCACATTTCACCAGGCACTTGAACTTATTGAAAGGATGTCATACACATCAGGAGAATGTTATATAGCTTTGTGCACAGGGGCATCAAGTTTTGTCCGTGTATGGAACTCTTCCCTGTCAACGCATATAAATTCACGCTCATGGATGCCAGGAGAACTTGCGGCTTTTCCCTCAGAGATTTGCTTTTTCCATTCCTACTTTATCCCATTTATCTTGAAAATGACAGAAAGTCGAACCAGCATCAAGTACACCAAAATTGGGTACACGGTGAATATTCTGGTCCTCATCTTTGCTGCCTGAAAAGTTTGAAGAATTTTATTGGCTGCACCTAATGAGCAAAGTTGGCCTAATTTCGTCTTGAATTTCACAGCAGTAATGCAGTCTCATCACCGCGTATAGCCTAGATGTATACATTGCCATCAAACTGGACAATGCATACTGGACTGACAGGAATTGGTAATTAATAATTTCAGTTGAAATTAAGTAGCGTCAAGTAACTGACATGACAGAATTGATATTGACTAATTAATTCAGGGGAAAATATCACTCAAAATGTTTTCCTGGGACAATGTATCGCCCCTCAAATATGTAACGTCAAATTCATGTACTACCACAGGAAGGCCTAGGTAGTCTGAAACCCAACCCCCTGCGAAGTGCAACCATGTAAACAAACAGCAGGAAAAATCTCAAATATGACAAACACTGCTGACAGAAAGAGAAGAGGGGCTACATTCATGACATAGGAGTTTCCTGTTCAACTATAAATTCTGGGCCAAGAATTCAAAATTTATGCAAATGTTTTGTCTGCTCAGATGGCTATAGGCCTACATGTAGGTCCTAACTAACATTCAAAAGGACTGTGTCCAATATCACTATGAACTTTCAACACCAAA